GAGCATGAAATGAAATACTCAAGTTTTCTTTCTTTTTTCAACGAAATTGGTTGTCAACATTTATTTTAATTCATTTACAATTATCTAAAATATATGTCTTTAATTGAAATGCAACAAACACAGATTTATATAAATTTCCGTTTACCTCGATTGTTTTAATTTGTGACAGTATGTTAAAAAAAATATGTATTGAACTGCAATTCTTGTTTATCATTGTGTTTAATCAAATAAACATAGGTAACATATGGTAAAATTGAGGATCTATTTTTAAACCTCAAATTAGCAAACTATTATACACAGCAGTCACTCGAGTTAGTATTCGAAACTTGTCAGGTGTTGAATGGTGAGGTGTTTAGTAGGAAGTGTCTAGACTAAATACACAGCAGTCTTTCTTATAAGTACTCACATGAGGCACGGCAGTCTAATGGTAGGACGACTGGTTCGTGACCGAAGGGTTGCGGTTTTCTAGTCACGTGATGGCAATGTGTTGTATCCTTGAGAAAGATACTTTACTCCGCTTGTTCCAGTCTACTCAGCTGTAAACGAGGACGTGGTTGGGTAGTGCTAGAATTGAAGAATGCCAGCTGTGAGCGCCGAAATGGCAGCACCGGCTGTATACTCCCTAGGGAGTTGAGACAGATATTTGCTAGTTGCAAAGGCCCTATAACCACGGATAATAATTTGTGAACTGCTTTAAGACGACCTACGAACTTGGTTGTGATAAAGCGGCATATAAGAACCTCTAATTATTAATTATAACTATTACTCCAACTTATTCGCTAGGTCAGTGGGTTACCGTGTCGTAGGAAGTGTCTAGACTTCAAAGCACTACGTTTCTGTCGGCTTCTGTATAGCATGCACAATCGAGGTCAAGAGCGTTCATTGTCAAGATATTTGGTCGCGCTGTTGTGCACATGGTGAAAAGTACTTCAAGTATGTAATTAGTACGTATTGCATAACAATTGAAACTCCAACGAGCTCGTACACAATCACCGCTGACAATTATTTACATAATGTAACGTGTAGTTATGAAGTTGATGGAAGTGGTATGCAAAGGATATCAAACGAATTTTTACTTGATACACAAACAATGTACGTATTAAACATGTCGCTACGTCTTAAGACCGACAGGTTCCTGTATCAAGATATGACAGAATTAGCAATTTGTATTTTTTACCTGTACAACGATATGACGAAATCGAAAAATGCAATGTCGCGAGACACGGGACACCCTTTTCCTTTTTAAAACTTAAATAATGACTGGTTGTAGCATAAGTGTAAAAACTGCATAAAATTTCTATAAATATACCCTGGCACGCTGAAACGAAAATAAAGTAATGCTTTAAGACTGAAATCTGTAAAAAGGCCCAGCTGCTGAGTCATACGAATGACGAGAAAGAGGGCTAGATCTACCATATTTTGTCACATCGTTGTACAAGTTAACAGTACAAACTGTACATGTAAACACATTAGACAATTCCATGTTGTAGTATAGGTGTATAAAAGTGTAATAAGAGTTCTACTAATATGTCCGGGTAAAACAAAAACGTAAGGATTTTAGACTGTACCCTGTGGATTATTTTAAGCCTGGGGTATCGTTGATACCCTTGTGCATGTGAATATCTCAGATAATGACAAGTCGCATAATAGTTATAATTACGTTTGTGAGATTTGAATATTAAACTAGTCCAATATTTGGCTAGTAACCAACTTCATGCTGGTTGAGTTATATAGGGGCATGGTTTCACTTGCTATAATGTTCGCTTATATAAATTGGAATTTTACCTTCTTTAAATAGTGAGGTCACATTTACCAAATGTGTCTTACAACACCATGAAATAATATTTCTCTTAGGTTATACTTTCTGGAAAATCTTTTCAATAATTCAAAATCTTTGAATCGCATTTGCTGGATGTGTATATGTACCAAAATTTAACACAACAGTGTATTTGTACATTATCGTCGTAATTTCTGGATTGCAGATATGTTTTTGTCAAATTTGACTTCTATGTATAATTTTGCATTTTTGGTGAGGGTAGACGTACCTGTTTGCCTATTCATTGAAACAACACGATACTTTAAACTAATGTGTCACGTTCATTATTCAAATATAGCGTGTCCTTTGCTCGGCGGTTTAAAGCAATGCTACCCAATGCCATCAGTTATGCAGGTTGAACCAAAGCAAAGTAAACCGATCAGGAGGCACGATAGTCTAGTGGTAGATTGCCGTGCTCGTGACCGAATGGTTGTTGGTTCGAGACACGGCACGGCACTGTGTTGTATCTTTGAGAAAGTTACTTTACTTCGCTTATTCCAGTCTATTCAGCTGTAAATAATTACGTAGTTGGGCAGTGCTAAAATTGTAGAATGCTAGTTGTGAGCGTCGAAATGGCAGCACCGGCTGTATGCTCTCCAGGGGGTTGAGAAAGATATTGGCTGGTTGCAAAGACCCTATAACCACAGATATTAATTTGTGAACCGCTTTGAGACGACCTATGAACTAAGTTGTGATAAAGCGGTATCTAAGAACCTTGAATTATTATTATTATTAAAAATTATCAGTTCATTTAAGTTTTGTTTTAGTTAAAAGTTCTAAAATATTAAACCCTAACCTGAATAGATACCTATCAGTGGTATTATGTCCAGGCCTTTGACATCGCAATCATGATTATCTAAACAGGTTGAATAGGTCTGTTTAAATGTCCCCGAAATGCAAAACCACTTCTCGCCACGTTGATTTTCTATCTTGTATATTGTTCAAAGCAAACTATACAAAATTCAAACAGGTAATGGTTTTCCCCGCAGAAATTTGTGTTAGTAAAGGCAAATATAGAGTCACGATCATGTCAAAACGGGGTTCAGAGGGGGTAAGGAATTTGTATTTAACAAAGAAAATATTCCTTCGCTAAGAGTGAACGGATGAAAACATTTCGTCTAGTTTAAATGGCTTTATCTTATGAACTTCACGAGTAAAATAGATTAGTATTGCCCAACAAATACAGCAGGTTTGGTTATCGTACTCGTCTAGTAATCTGGTACATCAGTATATAAAACTGTTCAGGTCCGATAGAACCTAATTGATTCAATCACCTGTTTAGCGGACCAGTTGTCATACAAGCAATATTTATAATTACAAATGTTTTATATTACTATATAGCTAGTGTCGTATAGAACACCTACCTTTGTAATTTGACGGTTAGTCTAAATATGTCTTTCTCGGGCATTGACATAACCTTGTAGTTAAGTAATATAAAACTTATATTCATGTTCTACTTCAAAGGTATATGTTCATCTTTGAAAGTACCGTATCAAATGATGCTTTCTAAAAATATGGGTTTCCTACTTAAACAGAAATAAACCTAAATCAATTGCTTGTTTCATCGAAGATCTGAACGCTATAAAAGCGAGCCCCCGGTAAATCCTCCCTCTCCCACCCTAATCCCCATCTCAATCCCTAACCGAAATTTCAGTATGGTGTACGCGCCTCTATACGTCACTAATATCTTTTTTTTTTTTTAGATAATTAAAATATAAGTAAAAATCATAGATACTATTTTAAAACTATGCGCATCTTTATATGTCTCAATACAGTGTGAGAGCCATGTCTATTCTTTGAGGTTCTTTTAAACATGAACACGCGAAGGTTATATCTATCTATTTATAGAGTTTCTATGTTGAGTTATATTTGTAATACTTAGAAAATTAACTTGACCGGGAAGTAAATTGCAAAGCGGCCAGCATGTTAACTGCCGCTCGCGCAAGTTTTACAACGAACTGATATCAGGTAAGATTTTTAGTCTTGGACTGTAACGACCTTATCGATTAAAACTACACTGTTTAGGTTACAATATATCATGAAAGCGTTCTCTTATAAGTAGCTTTGATAAACTACATACCAAAAGTTGTACGGTGTATATGAATTTGTAACACATTCTGGCTAATTCGTTTTGTCTAAAATGCTCAGGGGAAACATTGATATTTTCAAAAAGGTGGCCAGTCCAAACGCATTTTCATGGTTTTTGAGCTTATTCTGTTGGTTGCAATGAGAGAAAAATATCCTTTCATGCCCAAGGGTGGAGGATAGGGAAAGTCCAACCTCGGGATTTTCAAATACCCCCACCCCCACCCCCACCCCTACTGGCATACTGTGTCTAAAACCTATTTTTTGAAGGTGCAATCAACCATGCGTGTGTTACATTCATCTCTCTATCATTTTTGTCATAAAGATAGCCCGTGCGTTTGGGATAGGGAGATAAAACGTGTTTAATACAGGTTTTCTATGGCCTTATTGATCACACATGTCATTGGAACAAGAAAATCTCGACGTGGAGACACACATGTGTACACTAGTTATGTCAAAATAATTAAATGTCCTTTTAACTTTGAAGGTCTATCAGACAGCAGACGGTTTTTGTTATAAACGTCACACGGAGTAGTACAATTACATAATTGCATGTTAAAAGCTCTACGGAGAGACCTTTAAATGTTTAGTGCATATCTAAACAGCACATGATATACACAAGTCTGTATGTGTGGATAAGGTGTATATGAATGTATTGATAGCCAAAGATTGTGTTTGGTTCAATGCGTTACTGGTACATCAAAACACAGTTAACAATATAATTTGATTTTGAAAAGAATATTTTTTACGAAAGCCGACGTTCAAAAGGATATGCAGGATTTAGCGACAAATTGCGTCAGGTGATTACGGGGAAGCAGTAGTAAGTAGGAGTATAAGTACCACTTAGAAAAGGGGGAAAATGCATTTATTCGTGCTACCATTTAAAAATTCTGGCTTATCTATTCACAAGCAGGAAATTTCGACATAACTGGAAATTTTGACTTACAGACTCCAAATTTCGACTATAAGATAATAACTCGAAATTTCGACTTATAATCTCTAAATCAAAAGATCATTCTCATGTTTTCACTTTGCAAAGCAGTGTTTAATATAAGCATAAATATTTGAAAAAGTTATCACTTATCCATTTTTCTTACAGACTGATGAAACATATGTATTTACTAGAACACACAGACATTACATACGCAGGTAAGTAAATAATCGAAAAATATAATGAAATTATAATTTTGTGATTTCACAAACAATTACGTAAAGAAAAGGGTGATGTTGCAGAATTATATTTTTTTTTTTTTATATATTTTATTATGATAAGTAATATATGCTTATGTACGTCTAGCCCGGTTTGTTAAAAATGACTTGTCTAGTAATTAGGATGGAACTTGGAAAGAACTTTTGCTATGCCGGTTCACAGGGAATACGTTTCTAGTGTATAGAAGATATAAGGTCGGGAAACAAAGCTGGTTTGCAGAATAAACAGTCCTAGAAGCAAGACATAAATAAAGTAAGTTTATTAATTATAGGCCAACTTATTTGACCGGTTTTCATAAGTCTGGTATAAGCAAAGTCAACATCACATACATTTTATTAAAACTGATATATTGATTTATTGCATTTCTTCAATTTCTATGGGCTTTTCCTCCTTTCCATCTTACCCCAATAAGGGTTCGCCCCTCGACCTGCCGCCTTCGTTAAAGTGAGGCTCAAGACGTTTTACGCCTCCTCATCTGAAAATCCATGGTTCTCCCCTACATACACGTAATGCAAACAATTTATTTGATAAGTCGATTTCCAAGTTGATATCTGGGAATTTGGTCTAAGTCGAAATTTCGAGTTAGTTGGTGTCTCAAAATGTATAGTTATGTTGAAATTTCGCAATTTTGAATAAATAAGTCGAAATCTGGAGTTATTATCTACAGATAGGTTGAAATGATTGAGTAGTCGGTGTTTCAAAAGGTAGGGTCAACGCCTATGGAGATTTGACATTAGCGTCGGGCCCCGCTTAGATTTTTAAAACAAGATAAATAAAAAAGGTATGGGTATAGGAAGCTTAAATCAGGAACAGTTAGTTTGAAAATTCATTCTATGACAAATGGGACCTCATCGACTTACACCTGTGTGAGGGTAAAATGTGTGGTAATACAACTTCTCCTAGAGCATTTAAATGACACAATTACTATAAAATTATATCATCATTGTGTGCACCATATTCCAACCGTTATTTTGATACCAAATATTACACCATTTCTAGAAAGAATTGTTCTTTTTAGTGAAGATTTAAGCAGAAAAGTATGTGAAATTTCATTACTTACGAGAAAATTCCCATTTTGGACACAATAATGTACATAGTTCTAAAACTAGTCTATTGTTCATACTATCTAAAAAGTTAGCTACCAATAATATCTTTTAGCATGAGGATTTAAAAAAAATGACAACCGGTAAATTGGTCATTTAACACCTTTGATGCAAAAACAGCAAAACATAGCCTTCTTTCCATTTTTCCTTTAAATTTTGTTTCTTTATAACCAAAAGTCTGTGGGTCTTGACATTTGGCAAGTAGGTTGTTCATGTGAATGGATATTAGTTTGGTTAACATTGGTGACATGAATGAAATTTGTTCAAATAGTTACAAGATTTGTTTTAGGAATTGAAATTAAAATATTTAGTCAGTAGATTTATATAAATCTTGGGATAAAGTTCAATGGGGTAAAACGTAGTATACAATTGAAGTGACATTTTTTAATATCTAATAGTGACCGGTTTTGTTTTTGTCAGTTTATATCATTGTGGCACTTCTAAGAAGTCAAACAGTGATGGAAGATTTGCAGTTCAAAATTCATTGATTTGCTGAAATGACTAAAACAGCTTAATTGATTGCTTGTTTGAACTTGAGTGTCGCATGGGCTGGTAGGCTGTGGTCTTGGTGACGTGCATGACCCATGACATACAATATGCATGCAACATGTGCACACATCCCAACTCTTCGCTTGCCCGCCGGGCAGACACAGTAGTAATCGTTTACAGGGTCATCTCGGTCATTTCTATCAAACGCAATCCAAACATTATATTTTGTCTGGGATTTGTGCCTGGAATGGATTTGGCCTCGGACGAGGTTTTCAGCATGCTGATAGACCAACACTTCAAAGTCCCCAGCCGGTGTTAGATGCTCTGCGATATACCTTGGCGCTACTTTCAGCTGGTATGATCCGCATGTCACTGTCTCGAGATACTCCATATCAGGTACGGGGAACTCGATTTAACAAGCGTCCAGCTTCACCCATTTGATCTTGTTGCGTCTAGAAAGGTCGGGCTCATCAGCTATCCTTAAGGCCAAGGTATTGTGCAGATTCAAACGGGATTGCATGCGCTCAGCAAGGCGATGGTCCCTCAAGTCCTTCTCTGGTGTAGACACATACATGGGTCCACGTATAGCATTTAAAGAAGCTATAGCTACTTATACCAGTTCCTCTATGATGTTGAGGAAGTAGTTTGAACTGAGTTGCTCTTTGAACAATTTCCACTGTTTCAATCGACCATGGTAACTCTCCACTACCCATCTCGACTTTGTGCACTGGCGGTCCTCGTTGGCAATCAGTATATCATGCTGTGTCTGGCCTGGCAGAAGATAAGAAGGCATGTACACCGAAAACCCTGAACCTCGCAGCAGGTCCAATACATCCCTAGACTGAGATGGTCAATATCAATGCCTGAACTGATTGGGCTACCTGCAGATAGAAAATGACTCAGTTCATAGAGGTCATTTATCACCTGACCAGCTCTGTCTTGGAGATGGAGCTCTAACGGTTCCCTTGTATGTAGGTCGATTGTCAATGAAGGGTTCAGGAAGTCGCCAATTATATGTTCATTGCAAACGCGTGCATCCAGTGGACACCACAGACAATGGAAACATGTTAGGCTTGTTCTGGCACGCTGTGGCATGTTGCATAACCCAGGGCCCTCTTTTCCACAGATGACACTCCTTTTATGTGAGTTACCACCATAAAAAAACTCTTAACAGAGATTAGTGATAGCTGGTTGGTTGACATGAAGTTTGTGTAAGCGTCGTCAAGATCATTTTCTATGTTATCTGGAGTACTTACACTGGTACTTTTAGGTTCACCAAACATAGATGCCAATGGTCTTTATTTGAGGTAGCGCTTGTAGCATTTACCACATATTATGCTTTCTTCTGATATACTGATATTCTCAGCAGTCAATACTTGCTGCAGCCAGTTATACTGAATATATATACATGTCTTATTTGAGCTCGAGACCCTTGAGGTAAATCTTTCAATCTGGTTTTGCAACCATGACCTATGCACACATCTTCCATGGCTTTACAGTAGGTGAACTTAATGAGAGATCAGTGTAACACCTTAGTAGTTAATACAGAATATCTGACTTAGATGTAAGTGAGCTTTGTGAAAATGGTTTTATCACAATTATAATACCTATACATACCTGTAGTCAGAAAATAAATCACTTTTATGGGTTGTCAGACAAGGTTATCTTTTCTTGCTTTACTTGTTTACAGTTAAAGATAGAAAACTAGAAAATGCCCCCGCTGCCATGTGAAATTAGTTTCAGTGTTCTTTAAAAAGTTACAACCACTTTGATATTGATACCCTAAAACATGCACACACACAAGCTACTACACTTAAAGTTGATTTTAATATTCATATGTTTTTTCTGTATGTTATTACCATCTCCATAACATATTGAATGAAGTTGCTAAGTGTTTAAAGTGAATCAGTATATTCTTTTCTATGTATAACAACAGTGACCTTGGCCTTGACCTTGGAACCCTGAAACACAACAATGTCCGAAGTATACCCATACTTGACCTTTGTATAAAGTTTGACCAAAATCTGTAAAAGAATGAAGTTGCTAAGTGTTTAAATTGAATCAGTTGATGATTTTCTATATATAGCAAGTGTGACCTTGGCCTTGGCCTTGACCTTGGATCCCTGAAATACAACGATATCCGAAGTATACCCATACTTGACCTTTGTATAAAGTTTGACCAAAATCTGTAAAAGAATGAAGTTGCTAAGTGTTTACATTGAATCGGGTCGGGACAAAAACAAAAACAGAAATGTATTGGTATTTACCATAAAAAACAATGATAATCAAATCTTCATGATTATGTGAAAATATGTATTGGTCATGTTTGGCATGCTAAAAAAATATTTTACCGGTTTTAATATTATATAAAAATGATTCTGTAAACAGAATATATATATGGACAGTTTTAAAGAAGTTTTAAATATAGACTAGCATTGTAACTATACAGAATCAAATTGACAATGTTGGATATATTTTAAAGTTTGTGAAAATTTTGCATGTTTTTCTAATTAAAAGTATCACTTCGCTTAATTCATGTTTGCCAATATGACATATTTAGTATCAAAATAACAGTAATTTTATACACTATACACTACCATAATTCATTTTCAAAATTACATTCGCCTATGATATTTATCTGTCATTTTGTTAGGATACCCCCGTTACTCAACCTGGTGTTATGAAAAGAGGTCACTACGGTTATCAGTGGTATTAATCAATAATCATATATGCAAATATTGTTCATTTTTATGTGTCTACATATGGCAAAAAAATTAAAGAAATCGAAGTGGGGGCCAAATGTTGATCCCACCTTTCTAGTGAAGTTAAAATATCGAAATTTTTAGTTATTAAGACGACATTTGTTTTGTTCTAAGTGGCCCTAGTGTTCTTCCGTTGGTGTTTATATATATATATTAGTTGTTTAAGTACAAGGAACGTGACATTTTAAATAGTTCCTAGATGATTATTAATTCAAAATCAGGGTTTCACTCCCATACCTTCAATCGGAGATTCTGCTGAATAAAAATACTGTTGTGTGTACGTAAATGCGAATAAATGTGATATAACTATGTCCCTATTTGAAATTAACATTTAAAACGCCAACAAATAAAAAAAGATCACCAGTAATATCTTGTTACAAGAATCATATTGTGGACCCATGTCCCATTGAAGGAAATTTACTATAGAACTCCACTGCAGATGTCCATTGCATCAAGTGACTTCTAATCGTTGCATTTTGATATACATGAATCTGCTGTGGAACTGGGTTATGGGGTTACCACCGATCAGGTAGCTCAGTTTTTAAGAGCGACCATGATCGGAGGTCTAGGGCTCGATTCTCCGTCTTCTGCTGTTGTATTATTACTAATAGAACATGGTTATGTCATACTTATTATTATTAGTTTCGTAAATGTGTAGTATTCTTTCAAGAAATTATTAAGAAAAAATATTGTCATGACTGCATAAATATTTCTTGCTCATCAACACATATTGTGACACTGATACATGGATCCTAAACATATAAAGGTTTCAACATATTTCACTTTTAATGACGCATTTAGGTATCATTAAGCCTAGACACTGATATTTCCTTTTATTCTCCAAACCAGAGCTCAGAGACCAGATTGTGAGTTTTACCTTGAGGCTGAAACAGTTACCACCGAGGACCTGTCTCTCCAAAGTAATTCAATCTGACCAACACAGTCTACTATAAAGCCAATACATATTTGGTAGAGGATCACTTCACATTAATCGACCCAGGGCAAGTGGAGCATTGGTGGTACAATGTAACAGGCTGTTTGTTTAAAATCTGTGATTTTACTTGTTGCGAGTAACACCTTAAAAGACGCAAAATATCATTCTGAACGGTGGTTTCTATAGACAACTTTCGTAACGATATTTTGTTAGAAAGAACATTTTGCGTACCTACATTAGTTATTAGCTCACCTAGTCCAACGGACTATTGCGAGCTAATAGTACTTGATTTAATATTTTTGTATTAACACATATCAGTTTCTAAAGGAAAGTTAAATCTAAAACAATAGTAGAAAAGGTCATGTTCTCAGAAGCCAAATTGGACTAAGCTTGGCAATTTCTGTAAAATAACCTCGGAGGAAAGTAAAAGACATGTTCGGACTATCAATTAATTAAAAAGTTTATTTATGAATTATTTTTGAGCATGGGACTGAAATTGGCGAAGTGACCTGATGGTTTTGAAACCGTCATGATGTAGGGGAGATAATTAGAGATTTCCACAGTAAATGCTATAGCCAAGTCTGAAATGAAAAGAAATTGCGCCGACAGTAGACAAAAATGCCTATCAAAATTAAAAAAGTATATTCTTCCCGATACAAAATGTAGAGACAAAACAGCTGGTACCGAGATAGTGAATTGGATACTTACACTGGACTAAGCAGACTATTTTAATATTACGAACATAGCAGATGATATCGCGATAGACGAGTGGCTGAAAATTGTTTGCATTACATGATCTCGCCCATGAATAATGATACCGCAGATAGTGTTGCACTCACAAAATGCATCCGTTTTGGACAACATGTATTTGTACACCAATACATTCACTTCATTTGGTCACAGTCTAAGAACAGCAGCATTGCAAAAGACATCGCGGTCAATCTTACTACAAGCTGGTGATACAGGTTAAAGTTGATCATTCAAGTGTCAAATATTACTTACTTCAGCCAAAAAAAGAAATTTGACGTTTAAATCTCCCTATTTAGATATAGGATATTCATAAAAATATAATATAATTTGATTGAAAGAAAGTTATAGAGGGTACGGTTTTCTACGGGGTACTCACGTTTCATCAGACATTTAGACATCATTCGCACACCAATCGGGTCAACAATGATTAAATATCAGTTGGTTTCATAATTGTTGATACAAAATTAATAAATTGATATTTACTTTGAAGCATATGTCATCCACGAAGAAAGAAAACTACATTATGTAACATTATCCTCGATACTCCAGGGATTACGCTCATTGTGCAGACAACGTAAGTGAGCGTTACCCCTGGGGTATCGAGGATAAGTGTAACATATACAATTCAGGTTAATTCACATATTGCATCTTACAATGATATTGTATCTTAACATAAAATAAATGTCAAATTATGTATTTACATTTGCTGACAACACAGGAATACTATATTTTTTAAGCGCACAGATTGATGTGATGGACTTGCTTATAACAATATAACTAATAATTTGTCACTTTTGTCTCCCTATCGAAAATGTTACATTTATTGAACATTTTATACTGATATTTTGTTCCATATTTTAAGATTCCTGTTGCGGCAGAATAGCCTTCTTGGTAATTGAATAGAATGGCTGAGGCAGCAAAACCAAGGTAAGTCGTATATTTGCTTTACATTTCCTTATTAAAATGATATTCTTAAGACTTTTGTACGACAATTAAGGACCTAAATATGTTTACGTCATGGTACTTAAACTAAACTGCTTTGTTTTGATAAATGGTTCAGGCTTCATGAAACGAAATATTCACGGATCGATCTGTTTCAGTGTTGACAAGGATAAAAATAAGGACAAACTGGACAAAAAAAAACTGTAAGTAGATAGTTTAGCAATTGATATGAATACGTAATGTTGTTTTATCATCGTAAGAAGATAACGGGCAAACATTGCTCTCAAAGGCGAAGGGCTAAAGTTTGGATGGGCGAAAAATTCGCGCTATATAGTACATGTATTAGTACGCTTAACACTTTATAATATTATTTCACTCTGCATTTCCGAAAAGTTTGTACTGATTATTATGCCCGGATACTGCATTAAACACATCAAAACAATAAATGCGATATTTCAAATAAAATAAATGTATTTCATTCTTAAAAATATGTACAAACAAATACAAGATTGTGTTGTAACATGTTTTAATGTATGATATTGTTATGTAAGAAATGAAAATGACAACGTTATACCGAAATTATTGAAAGAAAGTGTAGCATTTGGACTGTTTCTTCATTTCAAGTTCTTCATTACTTTAAGTCGGTTGACTTATCAGTCATAACATATATACAAAACAATACAGAGACAACATACAATATGATACACACACATACACACACACACACACACACACACACACACTTCATTTATACAGATGTAGCTGCTATCTTATGTATAGCCTTTTGTGTTTTTGTGTTAGTCCAATTTATCTCACTGTTGCAAACAAGTTATTTTGATCAATTGTATGTATGTTTAGCATAGCATTTAAACCGCAAGCGTACTAAGTCATGCACTTCATACTCACAAATATATAAAATGTAGGTGATCATGAACATCACTCCTTGTCTAAACATTGCATTCATTACTGATTGTTTCAGACGTGAACAGTTGTCTGAGTGGCATAGTCAGTAAGTATTTGTATTGTTTTAACTAGGATTGCTGGCTTTAACCAATGGTTAATCTGCTGTGCCTAAACTATGTGCATTTCTGATATATTAATATACTTTACATTGCCTTATATGCACTCCATACAAGTTAAATCATAGAAATCAATGCTCTATAATGGCATACACAGTTTGATTATTTACCAGTAAAATGCAAAGATATACTTAACCTTGCTATCACTTGAATAATATTCTTACCTGTTGTATTAACAATTGACGTAATTTAACATATTTGTATTGTCCATGCCTCATTTTTATCACAATATTGTTGAAAATAATAACATGTTATGATATGTAACTGTATACTTAGTTTAATGCAGAACCTGACAATCAAGGTTCCATTCTTCTTGAATAGGAACAAAAGATCCTCCTGGAACATGAACAAAGCAAAAAGTGGGGGTTCTTTTATTTGCTTACTTCAACTAGGAAAACAACTCTTATTTAAAGCTATTATACTAGCAATGTTTATCCAGTAACTGTCACATTATACCACATTTTCCATCTTTGACTTAGAGTTGATGTGACCACGTCCTTGCAGAGACCTCTCGTTTCTCGCAGTTTTTTCATGCCGTGCTTACATAAATGTCAAGGATTATAGACTATTGGCAATATTTTCTATACACTTTAATTCACGTCTTGAAGATACTTTTTACCATAATAAGTCTTCGGATACAAGCTAACCGAGGGATATGCGTTATTGTCTTACTTTGTAAGTGATAACTAATTATAGTTTCTGCATTGTTTTGTAGTACTGTTTCGTTGTGACTTTTTTATCTTCTTAGTTTCTGTTTTGAAAAAAGGACGAATTGTCCTGAAATTTTGACAAATTCCTTTAGTATAAACTATATTTCATTTCTTTTTGCATTCACATTATGAAGTAAAGCAACACACGATTGTATGTTCCCTTATCTGCTCTCTCGTTATTACGTTCTTCTTTGCTTGTTTACATATACTTTCATATGATATTTTCACAACAGTTGATAACCCAACTTAATATGAGTTTTGTATCGTTACAGAGTGGTGCGCAGTTTTCCAAACGAAGATGAAAGGTTTGTATCAATTTCTATAAAACTTCCGATATACATGTACATTTGAATATCTGCTGTTTCTATCATTTTTGTTTTATCAGAGCACCTTGAATCAAAACGCCAACAGTTTTGTTTGATTATGTTTACAATACGATTATTTCCAAAACCGTGTACATCACAGTAAAAAAGCAGAACGTGTTCAACATGATTTTTTTCCCTGAAACTATGTATATTTTACTTAATTCGTATAAACAAACTTTTGCATATAACAATCTTATTACACGATTGTTGACATATGCTGATTGCTATACCGCATGTATTGGAACACTTCAAATGGTTGTCATTTATATTGGTAGTCTTCTGTTTTCAGAGAAAGAGAAGAATTGCTTAATGAGTAAGTATTATTTTCAAATCTAAGGACAATTTTTTTTTCATTTGAAATATAGAAAACAATTACAGAATGTCAGCGAGTATATATACACTATAGAGAAACAATAGTTGATGTGTGTCACAAATATATCAATTTCACCAGCTTCACATCACGTCAAAAGTAAAATTCTAATAACGATATGCTACCGTATAACTATCAAAAGGGAACAGCAATATTAGCCTGTAGGTGTATAAACATTCTTTGTTATTCTGATATACACTAAACAGTGTATTCCCAACCAATATCTGTACTCTGATCTACAACAGTAAGTTTATCTTATTCCTGTACGATACTGCTGGTATTCATGGGCATGCACCGTATCTGCCCAGCACGCGCCATATCGGTTTCACTTCCGGCTTAACACATTTCACTAACCATCACGCCTTAATGACCTTTTATCAGTGTTACTGTCTATAATTTGTATGATATTGAGATGTTTACCGTGTTCTTTATGATAAACATAATAACATGGCATTGACACATAGACAAGATATTTACACCATAAGCTTTATCCTGGTATAAAAATAATAACAATCAATTAGCTTCAATAGCTTCAATAGCTTCCGTATACATGTTGTGTATGCCTGTTATTTTCATACCCTATCCCTTACCAACCCTTTGTCCAGAGCAGCCATCGGGCATCTGACCCCTGGAATTGATATGTGATATGGGATACTAGTCTCTAAAGATAAAGATCACCAACAAGTTTAAAATATATTCACATTTATACATATGTTAACCCTTTTAATGTAACATACATTTCAGTTATAACAAATTGTAAGAAACCTATATATAAATGAAAATCATACTACTTATTATGTTTTTTTGTGGGTTTTACATGGATAACTCTATTTTATTATAGGCTGGAAGACAGCATGCCTGCAAGGTAAGGATTTTTAACACAATGCCTTTTAATCTTAATTAGTTTTTAACGGCAAAATGTGTCAATAACAATTAATTTTTGATAGCGTATTACGATGCCCAAATTTATTTTCAAGGACAAAATATTTAACGTCTCGTTGCTAGTAAAATTGCAGTTCATCGGTATATTATCAAAATGGCGCTTATTTCCTTTCTTTTATTACTGATGAGTTTAAGTGAATAAAGAGTCAAACGACTTAATACTAAAGTAGTATGTATTGAAATTCACTCAGGGTACTCTTCGTTTGTCTCCACTAAATAACTACGACAATATTTTGTACAGCTAGTACTTTTCTTGTAATGGGACAGTTCTAAATTATCACCCTTTACTCGTTATTATTGATTTGAGATTAACCAGTACTCCGTAAATTTTGAAATTCATGTTATTAAGTGGTTTCCAACAGTAGATAAGACCCTTTTGGGTTTCCAGCTTTTTGGCCCCTACATTATAGCATCACCGATGTTGCCTAGAAGGACGAAATAACGGTATCTTGAAGTGTAATTTATTTGTTGACATGCTGTGTCTATTACCAAAAACATATTGTATAAAGACGAAAATCAATGCGTGTGTTTTATTGTCTTCTGTCTTATTCATAATTCATCAATTTCACATTCACATACTATCTCTAATTGTTTATATATGACTTACTCATGACATCCCATTCTTATTTAAAAGGTTGCATAAGTCAAATATCGCGGTTATATCGTTTGAGTTAAACAATATGAACTCAATTTTGACACAAAGAAATTCCTTCATTACTTCTGACATTTTGTTCGGAGTACCGATGCAACTAGCTACTTACTGTTTCTTTCCATAAAATTACTTACAGTTTAAGCATTTTAGCAGTAAAACACCAGTCATATTTTCACATTGTATTGCACTGTCGTGTTTTTGTGAAATTATTGGTATAAATACCTCAAATATTAAGTTTTATTTTACATTGCTGAAAAATATTTTGTCAACGAAAAAGATTGACAGCTATATTTTGCTTTCAATGTTTATTTCAGGCTATCTGAAGTCAAAGAATGTCTGCGCATGTATGTATACTATGTTCTTATTTACAATGAAACTAATTAAACATTGTCTTAAACGATTGACAAATATTAAACTAAGCAATTAAGAGGGAAAAAACAAACTGACAATGCTTATATCCTGTTGCTCTTTAAATACTATCATATGGGCGTTAAATTTCCGAAAAATATGCACGCTTGTTCACAAATAAAGATAAGGGTAAATGTTTATGACCTTTACCTTAATTCGGAACATCTCTTGCGTATTAAGTTATTGTAGCGTATAGGTTACATTTTGTAAACAACGTGTATATTATTAATTGCAATGTCAATGTATGAAACAGATTGTAAAATACGAAAATATCTTCTTCTTTTTTCAAACGAACGCGGTTTGAAGGACTGATGTTATATTTACCAAAATTGTTTTTTTACAGGTTTCTGGAAAACGGGTAAGTGTTTATATATATTAATATATGCATGTGTATAAACATACAATTTATTTTCATGAATAGGTATGTAAAGATAATATTGTTGCATGATACTTGATACTTTTGGTAATTATTTATACTTTGATATCATAAAATATTTTGATATTTTTTACATTTTGTAGTCCGTCTTTTTCACATTTAAAAAAATTAAGGTAGAAATACATGGTGTATGACATCCTATTTAGAAGTGCTATGTTTGTATTATGTGTTTCAGATCAGATTTCGTCGACACTTATAACCTGTACGTATAAAGATCATATGATACACTAGTTCAGCTGCATTATTTTATTAACTATACTTAATCTACATAGAAGTAAGCATGCAATTAATCTGTTTGTTTTCAATAGATGTTACTGCCGTGCAATAAATCCTAGTTATTAAAGCAATAGCAATTTTGGACTTTATACTTGGTGACATATTTTATATTTTATTCGAGCTTTGACGGTGTTATTATGTCCAGGTCGCACGACATACCTTTCTCCTGCTAGTACAGCTTAAACACTAACGGCTCCTTTTGTGGCCTTTCGTGTATTTAGGGTATCTTTTGTTTTAAAAGCATCATTACTGACGGTGGCAAAACGTTGATTAAACGAGCTGTCATTAGGCTTAGCTGGCATCGACGTCATTGTTGTTGTGAAGGAAGCGGCCGGATTGCTCGGATGTTTAAGTTTTTTCTAGGTGTCATATTTAAAATTTGATAATCACCGGATTTCATGAAAACCGTTGAATATCGACTTTTATTGATCGGGTTGTGGAGTACTCTCGGCCAATCAGAATCTGTTTAAAAATCAGTTATATAATAATTCATCTAACGAACTACATATATATCTTATTTTATTCGAATTGAATGTTTATCAAATTCACCTAACTTGTAAACTGTCTTCATTCCAAAATATGTATATTTATTGTTTGAACACCAAACTTTTGTGTGATGGTGTTTGTACACTGTCTAACAGTTAATTCCATCATATCTTAGTCGGGTTCACCCCTACCAAGTATTTCTCATCTGAAAAGGAAAATTGAGTTCCATTTGATTTCCTTGTTTAGACGATTTTTACCTCATTATGTCACCTCTAGAATAAGCGTTGTACAAAATGTATGTACCAATTTTGCGAGACATAAACACATATATATATCTGTCGTATGTTAATATCTGTGTGATTGTTTTTGCTTGCTTATCTTTGTTTACAAAACTCTTGTCTGGCATTCTTTGGACATAACATAAAAATTCACATGAAATGTTTTCTGCGTGTATATCATTGTGAATAGAGAGCCCTTTTATTTCAATTGGTCGATAGTATTATCGCAGGAAATACTTTATTTAACTACTTCGACCATGTTTTGTTCCCTCAACATAACTCCTGATAATGACATGAAGTTACTTTCAGGTTAGACAGACAACTTAAATGTCATGCTGCACAATGACACACAATTACGTAATGAAAGGATTTTACTGTATTTCTCAGTGCTGTGTTTATGTTGCCAGTAGCCCGTACCTTGATATATGTGTTATGATATAAGTAATGCCATATGTTTATACGCATGTAGTCTTTGATGAGATCATTAGTGAACCCCTCTGCAATGTGTAACGTATCAATAATGACGAGGTTCAAATGTTCTAATAACATGTTAAAATATGTTTTTTCCTACATATATATAATGCAAACATCAGTATGCATATGGATAATTTAGATACATTCGGTTTTTAGTCCTCAGAGGTAGGATAGTTTCAAACTATCAAAACATCTATTTGTCCTTAATTTGTCATATTGTATATTCCCTTTTCTAGATTTCTTCAAGCCGATGACATGACATTGGGGTAAGTTTCTTTTTTTGATATTTTTTTTCACAATATTTCTTTTTTCTCAACAGATGTCAGACAAAAATGTTCATAAATATTTATTACTGTTGTAATAAAGAACTATTTCTGTGCAGACTATTTAAGACAGCACGAAATCCAAGTTACAACGAAGCTAGAGCGATTACCACACTCTATGTCCATCTAGTGCAGTAAAATTCTTACCTTTTTTTCTTTCTATATATCTTCAACCTGTTATAAAACTAAATATTTCTCGCCGTTTTACGCTGTTATGAACAATCGAACCAAATACAAATTGTATGACTGAAATGCATATGTTGTATTTCTTTTTTTGTAAAAACAGGATTGCATTTTAGTTGTACAATCCCTCATTTTTCGCTCATCTGGTGAGCTTACGCCATACCGCAGCGTCCGTCGTCCGTCCGTCCGTCAACTTTTCCTAAAAATCGCTACTAGTCATGAACGACTGAGCAGGTTTTGACCAAATTTGGTCTGAAGCATTCTTGGGGGAAGGGGAACACATTTTGTATAAATGGTGGGAGCTGAGGGGCAGGGCCCAATAGGGGAAATATTGCATATTCTTTAAAATCCTTCTTCTTCTGTAGGAATCAAAGGATTTGTTCCATATTTAGTCTGAAGCATCATCGGGGAAAGGAGAACAAATTTGTATAAATGGTGGGTCTGGTCCCCGTAGGGGCTGAGGGGCGGAGCCACATAGGGGAAACATAGCATTTTTTTTTAAAAATCCCTCTTCTTCTGTAGGAATGAAAGGATGTGTTCCATATTTGGTCTGAAGCATCCTTTGGTGAAGAGGAACCAATTTTGTATAAATGGTGGGTCTGGCCTTCCCTGGGGCTGAGAAGCAGGGCCCAAATAGGGAAAATATAGCATATTCTTTAAAATCCTTCTTCTTCTGTAGGAATCAAAGGATTTGTTCCATATCTAGTCTGAAGCATCCTTGGGGGAAGGGGAACAAAGTTTGTATACATGGTGGGTCTGGCCCCCGTTGGGGCTAAGTGGCGTGGCCCAATAGGGGAAATATAGCAAATTCTTTAAAATCCTTCTGAAGGAATGAAAGTCTGTGTTCCATATTTGGTCTGATGCATTCTATGGTGAAGGAGAACCAATTTTGTATAAACCGTGGGTCTGGCTCCCAGGGGCCTGAGGGGCGGGCCCAATAGGGGAAACATAGCAAATAAGTTGTTAAAATCCTTCTTCTTCTGTAAGAATGAAAGGATTTGTTCCATATTTGGTTTGAAGCATCCTTGGGTGAAGGGGAACCAATATTGTATAAACCGTGGGTCTGGCCCCCAGGGGCCCGAGGAGCGGGCCCAATAAGGGAAATATAGCAAGTTCGTGGGTCTGGCCCCCCAGGGGGTCAGTTTTGTGAATTCTTGGGCCAAGATGACTCAATTTTGTATGAGCAGTGGGTGTGGTCTCCCAGGGGGCAGACGAGTGGGGCCCAATAGGAGAAATAGATGTAAAACCTTTAAAATCGTTTTTCGACCATCGGGATTAAGGGATTTTATTCTTATTTTGTTTGGAGCATCCTTGGGCCAATGGGACTCAAGTTTGTATAATTGGTAGGTATGACCCCCCCCCCCCCCCCCNGGGGCGGGGCTATGTTCACTGTATCTCAAGTACTGGATGGAACTTTCTGAAATTTCATACGTACTTACAGCACCTACCATGGAGTGCTATATCTTTACTTCATACTATTATTATTTTTAACATATTTAGGTGACCGATACAGGCCCTCTGGGCCTCTTGTAAGTTAACTTTGATGTTTTTAATGATAGGCTGAATTTATAAATATTTTATTTAAAACAAAATGGAAGTTGTTTTCCAGCATACCTAATACTTAACTGCAATCAGTTTTCTGGCTGGCTATTTTAGCATCAAATTTGACCGAGGCTACCCTATGAATACCAATCTTTAACATACCAATACTTGCAATGGAGGTATTATAAAGCTAATAATATTAATCTGATGTCGTATTTATAGCACAGATTTCTTTCATTTGTTTTCATTTTTAGAATTAAAAATGCTTCAAATGGTGATGGGTGAGTACACTTTGATAACATGTTCATGTTTATTATTAGATTAAATAATTCAGATGGAATTTGTACTTTCTAAAATCACCTAGTGCATTGCAAAATAAATATTAATTTTCAATTTCAACAAATTTTATTGATAATCATGATCAATTGGATTGAACAATTGGGTTGCCGTTATTATTTGTGTTTGCATTTTTAAGCTCACCCCAAGGTGAGCTTATGCCATACCGCAGCGTCCGTCGTCCGTCGTCCGTCGACTTTACACTACTAGTCATGTACCACTGAGCGGATTTTAACAAAATTTGGTGTGGAGCATTCTTGGGTAAAGAAGAACCAATTTCGTATAGATGGTGGGTCTGGACCCCCAGGGGCCTAACGGACAGGGCCAAATAGGGGAAATATGGCAAATTCTTCTTTAAAATCCTTCTTCTTCTGTAGGAATGAAAGGATTTGGTCCATATGTGGTGTGGAGCAATCTTGGGTTGTGGGAAACCAATTTTGTATAAACCATGGGTCTGGCTCCCCAGGGGCCTGAGGGGCGGGGCCCAATAGGGGAAACATAGCAAATTATTCTTTAAAATCCTTCTTCTGTAGGAATGAAAGGATTTGGTCCATATTTGGTGTGGGACATCATTGGGTAGTGGGGAACCAATTGGGCCCCGCCCCTCCAGGGGCCTGATGGGCGGGGCCCAATAGGGGAAACATAGCAAGTTATTCTTTAAAATCCTTCTTCTTCTGTAGGAATGAACGGATTTGGTCCATATTTGGTGTGGGACATCCTTGGGTAGTGGGGAACCAATTTTTATAAACCATGGATCTGGCTTCCCAAGGGCCTGAGGGGCGGGGCCCAATAGGGGAAACATAGCAAATTATTCTTTAAAATCCTTCTTCTTCTGTAGGAATGAAAGGATTTGGTCCATATTTGGTCAGAAGCATCCTTGGGGAAAGGGGAACAAAGTTTGTATAAATGGTGGGTCTGGCCCCCCTGGGGGCTGAGGGGCGGGACCCAATAGGGGAATTATAACAAATTCTTTAAAATCCTTCTTCTTCTGTAGGAATGAAAGGATTTGTTCCATATTTGGTCTGAATCATTCTTCGGTGAAGGGATCCAATTTTGTATACATCATTGGAATGGCACCCCAGGGGCCTGATGGGTGGAGTAAAATAGGGGAAACAGCAAATTATTCTCTAAAATCCTTCTCCTGTATTAATGAAAGGATTTGGTCCATAATTGGTCTGAAGTATCCTTGGGTGAAGGAAATCCAATTTTGTATAAGTCAAGGGTCTGGCCCTCCAGGGGCCTGAGGGGCGGGGCCCAATAGGGGAAACATAGCAAGTTATTCTTTAAAATCCTTCTTCTTTTGTAGGAATGAACGGATTTGGTCCATATTTGGTGTGGGACATCCTTGGGTAGTGGGGAACCAATTTTTATAAACCATGGGTCTGGCTTCCCAGGGGCCTGAGGGGCGGGGCCAAATAGGGGAAACATAGCAAATTATCTTTTACAGTCCTTCTTCTTCTGTAGGAATGAAAGGATTTGGTCCATATTTGGTGAGAAGCATGCTTGGGGGAAGGGGAAGAAAGTTTGTATAAATGGTGGGTCTGGCCTCCCTGGGGGCTTAGGGGCGGAGCCCAATAGGAGAAATATAGCAGATTCCTTAAAATCCTTCTTCTGTAGGAATGAAAGGATTTGCTCAATATTTGGTCTGAAGCATTCTTGGGTGAAGGGGAAGCAATTTTGTATACACCGTGGATCTGGCTCCCAGGTGCCTGACCGGTGGGGCCCAATAGGGGAGACATAGCAAATTATTCTTTAAAATCCTTCTTTTTCTGTCGGAATAAAAGGATTTGGTCCACATTTGGTGTGGAGCATCCTTGGGTAGTGGGGAACCATTTTGTATAAACCATGGGTCTGGCTACCCAGGGACCTGATGCGTGGAGCCCACTAGGGGAAAACATAGCAAATTATTCTTTAAAATCCTTCTTCTGTAGGAATAAAAGGATTTGGTCTATATTTGGTCTGATTCATCCTTGGGTGAAGGGGAACCAATTTTGTATAAATCAAGGGTCTGGCTTCCCAGCGGCCTGAGGGGCGGGGCCAAATAGGGGAAACCTAGCTAATTATTCTTTAAAATCCTTCTTCTTTTGTAGGAGTGAAAGTATTTGGTCCATATTTGGTCAGAAGCATTCTTGGGGAAAGGGGGACAAAGTTTGTATAAATGGTGGGTCTGGTCTCCCTTGGGGCTGAGGGGCGTGGCCCAATAGGGGAAATATAGCAAATTCTTTAAAATCCTTCTTCTGTAGGAATGAAAGGATTTGTTCCATATTTGGTCTGAAACATTCTTGGGTGAAGGGGAACCAATTCTGTATACCCCGTGGATCCGGTCCCCCAGGTGCCTGAGGGGCTGGGCCAAATAGGGGAAACATAGCAAATTATTCTTTAAAATCCTTATTCTTCTGTAGGAATGAAAGGATTTGGTCCATATTTGGTGTGGAACATCCTTGGGTAAAGGGAAACCAATTTTGTATAAACGGTGGGTGTGGTCCCCCTGGGACCTGAGGGGTGGGGCCCAATAGGCGAAATAGACAAAAATCTTCAAAATCCTTCTTCTTCGGTAGGAATGACAGGATTTTGTCCATATTTGGTCTGAAGCATTCTTGGGTGAAGGGGAACCAATTTTGTATAAACTGTGTGTCTGATCCCCATGTAGGCAGAGAGGCGGGGCCCAATAGGGAAAATAGAGGTAAAACCTTTAAAATCCTTCTTCTACCATAGGGATTAAGGGATTTTATACTAATTTAGTGTGGAGCATCCTTCGGTGACGGTGACTCAATTTTGTATAATTGGTGGGTATGACCCCCGTATGGGCATACGGGTGGGGCTCTGTTTGAAGTTTGTTCTCTATATCTCAAGTACTGGATGGATCTTTCTGAAATTTTATATGTACTTACAGCACTTACCATGGAGTGCTATAGGGACCGAGGAACCAAATGATTTTCCATAGACGATAGTGTTAACGTTTACCCCTGTCCTGGTTAAATGGGGTTATCCACACTGGTTTACCTGACCTCATTTTGAAGAATAGCATCTGACACAACTGTAAAAAAAATATTTCAAAATTCTGCCTATTTGAACGTTTTTTATATGGGGGCTGCCATCTTGTATTGAATTCGGCACTAAAAATCGAACAAAATTAACAGCAAATTACACACTTAATAAACTCACCCAGACAAAACCAGACTTGATTTTTTTTTATTTTTTTTATACGTATTACATCTATATATATATTGCTCAACCCACACATATAACTTTTGAAACTTCTGCCACCTTAATATCCAACCAGCAGGCCCCGAGGCATTCACCTTTCTATTAAATCTTCTGCCCAAAAGGGAAAAACCTACAATCTATTTTTGATTTGGTTCCGTGGTCCCTATATCTTTACTTCATACCAATTACTTTAATTATATGCAGGTGAACGATACAGGCCCTCTGGGCCTCTTGTTATTATGATGTATCATTATAAAAGTTATGAAGCACACATGCTTTTAAGATAGTGGAACTTAACCTTGATTCACGTTGATACAGGACATTGTTTACTGTACATCATAATCTATTACCTTATCTGTAAAAGAATATGATTCTCTTTCACGTCTAGCATACTAAACTAAATTTAAGCTATGTTCGTTCTTTTCCCCTGACAGGATAGACGCTGATCAGTTGCATCGACTGAAAAAGTAAGATATCAATATAAACTATTATTTTCGAATAGGTGATGAATGTTTTCAAAGATTTATATGAAAATGCAAAGAACGTAAAGATAAAGTATAATTGGAAGACGCAGATTTCTTAAAGTTATAACGATTCGATAATACTTAGTTATATAAGTATATGTACATATATGTAATTCACAATGAGAGTATTCTTATAAACAATATTTTATATATATATTTATTCTTTTTCTTTTGATTTTCCTCAAACAGGTTGCTGGAACAATTGAAGGCGCTTCACCTACTTGAGTGTAGGTAAGTATCAATGATATAAATTAATGTATTTCATTGTGGACAGTTATTCACCATATTTCTTAAAGGACTAACAATTTCAATCGCCCTAATTGCCTATACATTATAAATGTGTAACGGCATTGCAAATATATTGTCAAAATGTAAGCGGCTGAAATTGGAGAAAAAAGTTATATATTTGTAAAAATACTGTTTTCAATTGAATACTGTGTTGTACATGTATAATCTATTTTCAAACGTCGTGTCTTATTCTCTTAGTAAATGAATCGTACCAACCACATTTTCGATATTTCATAACGACATCACGATTAGAAGGTTTATTATCCCTGCTCATTGTTTTCGCTTGTCATATTATTCTGCGGATCATATTTAATCAACCAAGTTAATATTGACCCCGCGAAATCGCAAAACAAAATTCTCCAAGCGGAAATAAACGGCTATACGGAAGCAAGCTAAAATTAAAATAAAAAATATATCGAAATGTTTTAAACACGTTAATTTCACATAAAATGCGATACGTATACGTTCAATAGAAAGGATATACTTAAACAAAATAGAATATGGTAACATAAGTTAACAAAACCAGCATATTTCCGAAATCAGCATATGTTAGTTTAAAAAATCGGTTGTTATTCAGGGCATTCCATTATTTAAGAGACAGTTTGTTTATTTATTTCTAATTTTTATTTAATTGAACTATATCGCTCGCTGATATGAAACCTGTCATATTTCATGTCTGTGTATGCTCTGTTTGTGCCACACTCATTAATGTTGCATAGTTTGCACAACTCTTTTAACACTAGCGTTATTGCACCATTCATTTGGCTGTAGCGTTATTTCACCATTCATTTGGCTGAAATGTTATATTTCAGGTGGTCAGTCAATATGTAAGTATACGAATATTCGATATTCACACCCTATCGTCATCAGGGCCACAGTAAACATTTTAATAACTTATAACTGAAAATATATCCACTAACATAAATTCATTATCATGGTTTGGAATGTGTAAGCCACTCTTTATTCAGTCTTTGTTCAATTTTTTTAAACGTAAGCCACTTCCACGATGTTATTCGAGTTATGCGGGTTTATAAATTTGGTATGAAATGCACTAGTAGTTGTTGTTTTTATTTATAGCTAATGCTTATAACCAATCGATGAACGATATACGTAATCAATATAACAAATACAGGTATGTTATTTTACAATAAACACGTGTACAAAAATAAAGTTATTTATTTCCGAAAAACGTACTTTCGTTTACATGTAACGCGATCAAAACGTTTAGACTTTACTGTGAATTCGTTATAAAATATGGACGAGCCTAGTGTTTAAATGTTGTTTTTGGCTAGTCTAGATCTTGGCAAATTCGAACACTTTGAAGTAAGGGATGTTTTGATGTTGGATTGACGCTATTGAAACCAATATCTTACTTCGAGGTATCCGAGTTTGACAACTTTTCAGGGTTCGAATTATGAAATTTTTAATTACTCGGATATAGAAGAGATTTGGCCGGGATCGGAGAAATACTTCCAGATAAACGGGGTCTTCAAATTGAAAAAGTTCGAGATAACGAGGTTCGACTGTATGTTTTATTTGTTCTTTTTTTCGCGAGAGAAAAATCCTTTTATTTTCACACATTTTTATCTTTGTGAGCCTCCGCTCATTTTACTTCTATCAAAATATGTCCTGAAACAAGAAGGTAATCTTTTGTTGGTTTTGCATTTGATAGGAAACATCGGTTAGGTTTAACAATAAGGACTAACTTGAACGAACTTTTCTATTTGCAACAGATGTTATTTGAAATCCATTGATAATTTTCATACCAATCAGCTGATGATATGTATCCACATTTAAATTCAGTGTTGTTGTTGTTGTGTGTTTGTGATGTACGAACTCCAAGACGTAAACTGTATGCATTTTTTTTTCGATTTAATGATGAGTATGAGATACTAGACGCGCCTCTCAAAATTAAACAAATAGGAACGGGTTATACAAATAAGTGCGCCAATAACAGTATATGTGGCTGGTGCGTAGTCGATCCTTTAAGAAGAAAAAACAATTAACAGTGCATACCATTGTTTGAATTGTCTATTGCTTTCCGCTTTTTGTTAAAAAACGAATTCTCATTTTGTTGTAACAATTAACGGACGCCTTTCTCCATATATCATCTATCATTTTCCGTCAGTTATAGTATAGATTTATCGTATTAATAAAACCAAAGAAATCGGAATTAACAAGATCACATTATTATACACGTAAATATTTATAAAAATCTGTCAAATGTATTTTCAAGTCAGTTATATAGGATAAATATATCAGCGTTTGGTAAAAGTATTGAATTAATTTTCCAAAATGCATTTCAGCCTTCACATTCTACGAACTTGGTCTGCGGAGTAAGTATTGGTTATATTTTCTGTTTAAGTATGCTTTCAAGGTGTATTGTGTAACTGGGGAAAAAACCCCATCAAAACTATATGTACTGATACGGCAAATGAATGCAAATAAAATGGATAGTTGTTAAACTGTATGTCTGCGACAAACTAAAGCTATAGTCAATCTTTGAGCAGCTACAATGATTAAACCTTAATAGGAATAAAGCCACTTATCATGAAATCTGCATCAGTAGTACAATCTTTTGAATTACTTTAACGCATAAATAATTCAATAGGAGTATTTAAGTTCAGATATGAAACATGTTTTACAACAAAATTTTGAAGAATTCAAAGTAGCTATACCATTGCAATACATTTATCATAACATTCAGTATTAAACACAAATTGTGTATAATTATTAAAACAATACCTGAATGCGTGGTACAGCAATGGAAACTTCAGATTTTATAATAACAAATATGATCGTGCAGCTTATTCAAAATGTTTTATCGAAGTAAGAATTTGTATCAATAAGGTCTTGATACATAAATGTAATAAAAGAAAATAAAAACTTTTGAAATAACTGAAAGACATATTTTGTAACTTCAGTACGTGGATCAATAATGAGCCATACGCCCATCATAAGTCACTTACCAAATCACAATTTCAGTTGGGTGTTGTATCTTATGTTGTAAGAATATCTTGTAGCCTTCTTTTCTATGACATTCTATGAAAAGCAACATCTTAAACAATGAAAATGATCACATACGATATCAAAAGAATTAAGAAATTGAGCAATGCTTAAAATTAACCGTGCTGATGTAGTAGGTAGCACGTGAAGTGTTTGAGTTCAGTAGGTAGCACGTAGTGTTTGAGTTCAGTAGGTAGCACGTAGTGTTTGAGTTCAGTAGGTAGCACGTAGTGTTTGAGTTCAGTAGGTAGCACGTAGTGTTTGAGTTCAGTAGGTAGCACGTAGTGTTTGAGTTCAGTAGGTAGCACGTAGTGTTTGAGTTCAGTAGGTAGCACGTAGTGTTTGAGTTCAGTAGGTAGCACGTAGTGTTTGAGTTCAGTAGGTAGCACGTAGTGTTTGAGTTCAGTAGGTAGCACGTAGTGTTTAAGTTCAGTAGGTAGCACGTAGTGTTTGAGTTCTGTAGATAGCACGTGGTGTTTGAGTTCAGTAGATAGCACGTAGTGTTTGAGTTCAGTAGATAGCACGTAGTGTTTGAGTTCAGTAGGTAGCATGTAAAGTGTTTGAGTTCAGTAGGTAGCACGTAGTGTTTGAGTTCTGTAGATAGCACGTGGTGTTTGAGTACAGTAGATACCACGTAGAGTTTGAGTTCAGTAGATAACACGCACATAGTGTTTGAGTTGAGTAGGTAGGACGTAGTGTTTGAGTTCAGTAGATACCACGTAGTGTTTGAGTTCCGTAGATAGCACGTGGTGTTTGAGTTCAGTAGGTAGCATAACAAGTGTTTGAGTTCAGTAGGTAGCAAGGAAAGTGTTTGAGTTCAATTTGGTTTGATGTATTGACAAGCAGATAAAAGATAAAAAAAACTAAACTCTTAGAATCATTCGTTATTAGGTTTAATAACGGCTGCAAACTCAAAGGTGTTAAATAATTTCTGACTGCTTTTGTTCATTGGCAATGACGTTTTTATTGAATGCATGGAAAAACGAAACCATTGCGTTCATATCATCTTACCACCTTTATCGAGCTGTCCAACACAACTAAAAGCCTATATAAAGCTGAAAAGAATAAACATTAGGTATAAAAGCAGTCATGTATATACTCCTGTGTGAATTTATTACCAGTCTTCTTTCATTTTTCAGCCTGGATGAATGGAGGTCAACTAACAGGTAAGAATTTTAATCTCCCGATTGCTTGCATCTATCTCTCCTGTACTGTTCACATATTCCATTATCAGGTCACTTAAAACAAAGTCTCCGTTGACATTTTGCGATCGCATTTTATCCACTGAACCAATTTCGATAAAAAAAAAAACTTTGCATGAAGCTACTAATGCGCAAGAGACAACCAATAAATGGAGGCAGGGGAGGGGGCGTTGTTTTGATAATGTAGTAAGATAATACTCTTAGGTATGTTTTTTATTATGCTTTGAGAGATTTTTGACTTCATATTTCCATCGAACCGAAAATATACTGTTCTCTTCAAGTTACTAATAAACTGTATTTTTTTTTGTCGAAGGTCGGAAGCTGACTTGGAAAATATCCTTAAAAGGTCAGTAGCATCATATTAGTTATATCATTAGTGGTGCATCACATATTTGTTAATTATGATTCGATATTTACATACCCGTGAACGTTTGCTGTTTCATTTTGAGCGTAGCGTTTCCGTAGCACTTGCGTACCATTTGCGTCCTACGGCTTCTTATTTTGGTTGAAATTTTACGGAATATCATTTTTTTGCGAAACAAAACGTTCATAGCGTTCATTTGGTTGATATTTTACGGAATATCATTTTTTGCGATACGAAACGTTCATAGCGCTCATTATACACAAAATAAAGAGATAAAGATACTTTTACATGAACTATACTTATATAATAATGCCAACCCATAGAAATAGACAACGATGCTAAAATAAAAATAATTAATTGTTGAAACGAAACGTCTATAAAGTAAATAAATCACTCTACTACTCATTTAACACAGACATCGATATTCTTTGCTCAAGCAGTAATGACACTGACCTAACATAGTAATCAAACATGGATATGTACGTCTTGCTTTTCATCGTGCGCCTTTGCATTAGGTGAAGCATATTATATTTCTTGTAGTTCAGTTATGACAAATTAATTTCGGAATTTCAAAATAATTTCCTTATTCCTAATTACTTCGAAAAATGATACAAACATGTGTCTTGGTTTACTGTCCAAAAGCCTAAGAAGCAACATGTGAACAAATATTATGACAAATTCTTGACTAAGTTTTGTATCGCCATACTTGATCTGATAATTTTTGGAAGATAATTAAATGAAAAAAACCCAACATTTGGACTTTTTTTCAGTTTTGAAGATTTGCGCAAAACGTAAGTATCTAAACATTGAATGATTTCATTAATAGTGGATATTCGTTCCTTAATATACATCATATAAAGTATACAGTTATGTTTTGTATTTGTTATTATACTCGATCATATCATTTAACCCGAGTTTGATGCAATGTACTGACATTTCAAATCACTGTACATTTAGTTCTCCTTGATAGTAATGTGTCTCGTCGACCGGAAATTAAACCAACGTAGCATTATTGAATGGGATAGGAAGGGTAAGCTCACTATTGTCATATTTGCTTTTTTGCGGATCATTTTGATTAATTAATTTATATTCCTAAATCATCGAATGAGTATTAGATTATAAAATGAATAACTAAATCTTTCATGAAAGAGGATCTTGCTAGAAACTATGTAATTTATTTAATTGACAGAATAATACCATGTTTACGCCAACGACAAAATTATCACTACCTCTAAATCAAATATTGGCTTCTAAAATCGTTATTCAACCAAATGATAAACATTTCGATATGAATCCCAACAGCTATAACTAAGCGGATCTTGTTACATATTGATCATTGTGTAAAAGGCTTCACTGATGTTATTTAAGTATAAGAAAAAAAAACTTAAATGTGAATAAAAATAATCTTCTTAATATGATACGTATGTATACGGATGTCTTGTTATGTCCATTAAGGAAAGCTGACAAATACGCAAATGAATACTATCAAATTAGATATATTGGCACAATTATGAGATATTCATTTTATTTATTTCTAAAAAAAGTTTTTCTATATAATTATGATAATAATAATAATATTAATTAAATTCCAGGGGTCGAACTCTTAATCTGTTCACTTCCGATCCTAAATCTTACAAGTATTGCTACCAAGTAATTGTAAATACACAACATCAGAATTGAATATGAATACATTGACAAGGAAGCACGGTAGTCAAGTGGTAGGACGCTGGACTTGTGACCGAAGGGTTGCGGGTTCGAGTCACGGCACGGCACTGTGTTGCATCTATGAGCAAGATACTTTACTTCGCTTGTTCCAGTCTACTCAGCTGTAAATTAGTACGTGTTTGGGCAGTGCTAGAAATGTTAAATGCTAGCTGTGAGCGCCGAATGGCAGCACTAGCTGTATGCTCCTCAGGGAGTTAAGAAAAATATCGGTTGGTTGCAAAGGTCCTATAACCACGGATAATAATTTGTGAACCGCTTTGAGACGACCTACGAACTAGGTATTGGTAAAGTATATTGCAATTTGTATAAGAACCTCGAACTATTATGATTATTATTAAAGGAACTTTGAGTAAGGGGGAAATGCGTTGATGTACCTTTGCTTTACGAGGCGATATAATCCAAACAGAGAAGAACAAACAGTTACACAGTGTTATTCCTCTTTGAGATCATAGCTATTGGAGTGGTACTCTTTATAAGCTAACGCCTTTTTCGACGTCTGCTTATCTGAATTTCATTTCTAAAAGTTATGTTTTTAAACGAGATTAGACGCGATTGAAGCTACTGCAACATTTTCTTTTTAGAGCATATATCTGGCCAGACATGTAAGTATGCTCTCATTTTATCACATTATCACAGACACAATGAAAAGAAGCTTTCAAAACTGATGAACAGAACACTGATCATATTTTATATTAATGTATATACCTTATGTATAGTATGATGCAGCTGTCAATACTTCAGTAGATCGCTTTATAATTTCATTGGTTTGATGTTTGAAGGATTATCTTAATATAATAAATTATTATATGTACCGGATTTGTTTGCATATATGATGTTTTGTTTTCATTATTGAGATCATGTAACAGTAAAATCATATATCGTGATGTTAAAATAAATGAACAATATGTAAAAAGGACATGAACGTATCTTTCATTATAACATAACAATTAAAACGAATCAACTATTGATACAGTATGCTTTCATTTTTACACTCAAAATGATATGTGATATAGTAACTTCATAACTATAACTACATAAAAATTGATAATTCCAATTCTCAATGATACATGTGATGCGAATTCCTTCTTAATTTCTTTCAGATGACGAAGAATCAACAGTATCTCTGAATATAAAAATTGATAATTGTACTATTCACTTTTGTATGAATCCTTGTGTCAATACATGTCATAAAAATAATACGGCATTAAGCTGCTACGTATCTGTTTCAGCTTGGAAAAGATTCAGAACATCCATCAAAAGTAAGTTATGTTTATGATTTAATTTTAGCTATTATTTCCAGTGATAAAGATATAGTAAACCTAACATACAGAAAATGGTAAAAATATAATCAAACGGAAACTATGATAATTTCGTCTTATATTTTGCATACCCATTTACAGTACAATAAATAATAAGCTATATATAGTATAATAAATATATTCGGGCTCGGTGAAAAGTATCTTTACTGTGTCGCTACATAATGGTTTTCACCGTATAAAAGCAAATAATTTACCAATACTCGACGTTAAATATAGCTTAAACCTTCAAAGTTCATTCCTTTATTTGCAATGTGTATTCAAGTGCGTTACTTAAAGTTTTGTTTCCATGCGTAGAGTTTCCCACATGTGTTCCGATTGTCCCCATCATCACTGTTTACTTTACCTTGTGTTCATACCGTCAAATGCAAACGGTTTTTACCGAAATGTAGATGTATTATCACTTAATACCTGTTTCTATTGTAATAAAAACAATATTTTATCATTAAATATTCAGCTATGTTCTTTATTTTACAGGTGTGAAGGAGGAAGGTTTGTATTCAAATGCAGCATCCTTAAAATAATATAATTTTATGTTCATAATAATGTACAATGCGTGTGACTTTTGATTGAATAATTGAAGAGAATTGTTGTGATAGAACAGCTAGTAATTTAGTGCCTGAAAGCCTATGTGAAGTGCTCGGGTTGTTAAAGCTGGTCTAAACCATTCATTGAGACGCAGTTGAAGGAAACATACACAACATGCAGTACTTCAATCATCCTTTCATTCTAAAACTTTTAGTGAAATAACCTCTTAAGACTACTCATTTTAACCAAATATGTCAGTAAAATCATGTTCACGTCCGACTTAAAAGATGTTAGTCGATCTTTATTACAGATGGCCTGCAATCTTACTGGACATTTTTCATTTTATGTAAGTACATTTAACATTGGACTGGTTGATGATACATTTTGTAAATATATCGAAACATGTTCTTAAATATCCCTACGCTCTCTTTTCTTTTAAATCATGACACTGAGTAGAAATGTAATATATCAGCAACTATAGAACGGCATCACTACGTGTATATGTTGTTTTTTATAAAATCATAAACATTTATAACGATGAACCATAATTCAAACTTTTAGATATAAAGCTGTGGCACAATTCCAAATAAAAAACTAATTAATAAATATTTTCTGAAAAATGCTATACCAATTACTGCAACTTTATTTCGCATAAAAGTCGTACAATAATTTTAATTTGACATTCTTTGCCATTTATTTATTTCAGGGTGAGAGCTGTCCAGTTGTTCAACACCAGGCAAGTGTCATTGCGTTATATCTCTCGAAATAAGTCAATCGTTCAAGATAGAAGATACTGAAGCCTGATCAAAACAATTTCAGTAAAATTATAATATACATCAGCTTGGTGATCTAAATTATCAGATATAGAATACGTTATTTCACCTGTTATGTATTTATGTGAAATGCAAGACCGATGTTCTCATGGAAAGAAATATAAAGCATACATACATTGCGAAATGAAAAGTTTATTCCAAAAGCAGTACAGCTTAAAGTAGTTTCACAACGGTAAACATATTAAATGAACACTTCTATCAATCGAATGTTATACCATTTGACAACATTATATGAATTTGTTGAAACAATTTCTAGGTTGGGAGAGGCTCGTGCTGCTCCGAACATGTAAGTATATATTTTATGAGATGATCGTAATAATGAGCATAAGCAATGCGTGTTTAATTCAATGTGACGGACAACGGTCAAAAAAGGCTAAAGCGGTTTATGTCTGAACTGGGGAAGTATAGTGAATGAGGTAAATCAAAGATACCTAAATTTAGGGGTTTTAAATATGTAAAGAAAGTTGCATTTATTTCCTGCATTCATTGTTTTTAAGAAAGATACTGAGAGTTTCTCAAGTAAACTTTAAACTCGTTAGATGAATCATAAAGAGTTTTGTAAACTCAGCGTTATATTAATAATATGCTCTAATTTCTTTAGGGGAGAATCTAGCCCGTTGGTGGATCGTCTGAGCAAGTAAGATTTTGATATTGTATAACGATTAATGAAATTTGTTATTTTATTTCTTATTATCACTTGTATAAAATTGTCTATACCGAGTACTTTCCTGATACTTTTTATTCATACATGTATGTATTATTGTTTTAATAAATACATTATCTTCAAAAACGAAACAATTGGCTTCAGCTAATGGACACACCATAAATATTCTGACAGACATATGGTTTAATCAAAGTTTTTTTTTGTAAACATGAATTATCGAAAGATTTTTGAATTATTATCATTGTTATTCATTTATGAGAGATATGGTGCATTCACTGTATTTTATTTGAAAGGATGAAATCATCTTTAAAAGATATCCTGGAAACGAAAACAATGTAAGTTAATTTACATTTCTTTTTAAAGATTTAAGAAAATATTGCAATAATTACTCACCAGTAATGTTAGACATAGCTAGTTATCATATGGAACGCATCTTTGTTAATTTGGAAAACAGCATATCTGAATTTCTCATATGCAACATGTAGAACTTGTCTTGACCAATAGTATGGTTCGTCAAGAGTCACGTGTTATGTATATATTTTTGCCATAAATTCCAGTCCATGCCCCATACAAACATTAGCATTAAGGTATCCACGCCCGAAGTTTTGTTCCTACAAATAACACATACACTATAACTAAACCGTCGCTACATGTAAAACGGCAATCGTTAATGAACAGATTCGATGCTTACTCACTGCAAATAAATAATCATTTATGTGATCGGATTATCATTCAAATGGAAACATAATGAGTCATCGTTTATATAAGAAAAATGTTACACAAAATGCATTTTGAATGGTTTTTTTTAGTAATTGTATTATTCATATGTATGTATGTATGTGGGCGTGAATATTTTACCATCGGGTTAGAATTAGGGCCAGAACCGAGGCTATTTTTACCCGAGGGTACAATTTTCATATCCTACATAATGACATTATTTTTTTTCCATTTCTGAACCAAACTCTTAGAGAAAACAAAATAACAAACGAAGATCATATAAGAAAAGAGCAGAAAAAAGTACTTTTTTCCAAGTGTATGCCTCAAACTTAAAAATTCACGCAGGACCTTCAAGGTAAGTTTGTACACAAGCACTGATGCTCCTGAAATGGTGACTTTTGCCAACGGCAATATTATCAGAATCAGTCAAAGAACGTTAAGACGGACATTCGGTTATGACGTCACAATATAACATAGTAATCTAATCGCGATGTAATAGTAAAAAATGTAATTGAATTCAACCCGTATGACACACATGTATCTAACATACCTAGAGGTAGGAGAAAACATCACTGTGTTCATTTTGACGTGTAGTATTTGCTACATTGCAGCATTCAGGATTTGGTAGTTGTTAACATTACCGTCGACCTTGTCGGAAAAACTGATGAAGAGATATCGTTGCAAAGAACCGAACACCGGGAAACTGATATTTATTGTCTGACAAAAAGGCCTGTGGGACGTCTGAAGGACTTGTTGATAAAGAACAGTTTATCCACAAATATTCTTGATCTAAATGATGGAACTGAGGAAAGTCTTGTCAGCGAAGTAGACGGGGAAGTGAATATCATAATTTCTCATGACGCCCAAAAATCATACAAATCATATCGCGTACATCTGAAGGAGGGAGACGAGTGGACAAGGCTTTCTGCGACTCTGCAGGTTGGAAAATTTGAAACTATCATATGCCTCGAAAAAATATAAGTCAACGGAGTCGTGTAGTTGGAAAAGGGCATGACTTAAAATCTATTAAAATGCATTTGGTAATCGTACTAAAAATTTACTTGTTATAGCTTTGATTTAATGCTCAGTCGAAATGCATGTAATTCAAAGCTGTAAACAGAAATTTAATTATCGTCATTACACTTAAGCGCAATATTTCAAGCATGAAAGTTAGATAAGTTGCCGTTAAAATATGTACTTTAAAGAGTATACAATTACAAACTTTCGGGGCTAAAGTATTTCTTTTTTCAGAATTTTCATAATGATTGCCTTATGGGAGATCTGCGCGGGTTTTTTTCTCTGAATATTTAATGTCATTTTCGTACTTTAAACTTATCATTTTGAAAATTAGAATATTGCTTGAAATTTCAGTTATGAAAAGAAAAGCGGTATAACTTCCCATTTTTGCCTCTGAACGCAGATGTGAAATCTTCGTTTACGGAACTGCATTCTCAGTACTGATCTGTTCGGATTTTAGTAAGCTGTTTACTCACTTATGTAAATATATGTATTTTTTTCAGAATAATCGGCTATGCGTAACTGGTAAGTTACCACCAACAACGATGGTGTTTTTCACGTCAATGAAAAACGACACGAAAACAACATTAAACCCAGATCAGGAAAATATACATATCTGCCCTGAAAATAACGATGTGGTGTTGGAATTCTCCAAAGAAACCGTGAAGTCCCCCCAGGAGATTCAAATAACGGTTAGAAAGTTTAAATTATCTACAACTTCATAAATTGCTGAAGCATACAGAATTGTTAATTGAGAGGTGTTCTGTCCATATGTATAGAAAATAATGTTGTTTCATATAACATAATGACAAATTATATATAACCTTAAGTAACATATTTAAAAAGCGTGAAGTGCATTTGGCATGCTATTTTAGTAATAGCACTTTAACATAGGCATAAGATCTGCGCTATCACAAAGAGGCAAAAACACCACCATACCCTGCCTTCGCACAAATGCACACCAACCAACAGCTCAAAATGATAATGTCTGCATAAGAAGTGTAACTTATCTAAACATATGAGGTTATTCGCAACAAGCACAAGACCACCTGCCGATGTCTTATTTTCTTATTGCTTTACAGCTCAGAGGATGCAAATTCCCACTGTCAGAGATCGCCGGCTATTCTGATATTGTTTGTATCCAGCATGAAGAGAAATTCTTGAAACCAGTCACTGTAACAATGCCGATGACCATGCTTGGAGAAAACGACATCGAGCAGTGTGATTTATTTTGTGTCCACATTGGAGATGACCGACCTACTATCAACAAAGATGTGAAGGTAGAGATATTGAGCGGAAACGTCTGCCGGTTTGAAACGGTCACATTCGGCTGGTATGTAAAACTTGATATTCATACAAATTCAAGTTTTGAGTACATTACAAATGTATCCATGCTAATGTGTACATTTATATCATTTTGTACGGTAAACCGGGAAACTTAATTGACTAAAGTGTCAATCAAAACTATAAAAAGAATATAATACTCTTATGGGCAAACCTGTATCTCAGTTGTTTTATTACAATAAATTCAGATAAGTATGGTTTTACCATGGACTTATATATCTGAACGTCAAATGCATGTTCAACTAACAAGCCATTCGGATTGATATGTCGCGCCTGCATCCCGCTTTGACCAGCAGTGCACATATCAAATTTGGTTGATCTAGCACTTAAAGTTTCAGAGATACTTGAACGCAAAAAATGTATGTTGATGGATATAATGACAAAGTCAATGTACTTTGAAAGATAGGCCGCATCAAGCATGTGATGCATGGGTTGAGATGTTCTACCTTAGATGTAACTATGGTCTAAGTTTGGTTGATATAGCACTTATACTTTCAGGGAAACTAACTCAAACACACACTCAATGTTGACCCCGCTATCGCCGGATAAGCAACACCTTAGTCTCGCTTCTGCTACTTCGTGGCGGCGAGACAAATTAGCAGGTGTTATCTGGCTTTTGAAACAAGAAACGTTACAATTTTGAAATAAAAAATGGTTAAAAAAGTTATTACAACAGTAATCCGATCTTAATTGCTATGAATATGGTTTCCAAAGCACATCTCAGCCACCGTTTCATGAATTTGCGCCAAACTTTGTTCAAGGTAAATGTACATCATGGGAAAGAGATGTTTAGCACACTCTTAAATGAGATCAGTGTGACCTCAATTTAACCTTTGACGTTGGCCTAAATGACTAAAATAATGGTTTCCGAAGCATATATCAATTATTGTTTCAGAAATTCGAACCAAACTATGTTCAAGGGTATATCATGGGGAAGCGATGCGTAGCACACCCTTATTTGACCTTTTACCTTGAAAGTACTAAAATAGGAGTTTCCAGAGCATATCCCTGCTGCTATCTCATGAATCGGCATCAAACGTTTATGTACAGGTACAACTTAGGAAGGTGGTATGTTGCAACTTAAAATAAAGTAATTTTTATCTCTACTTTACCTTTACAATTGCTCACAAATCCTTAAATACACTGTAAAACAGTTGTTCAATACATATCTTATTCACCGTTTATAAGGAGTCTATGCTTCAGCTGAAATAAAAGTTTCAGTCATTTTCTATTTTTTGCAGCTTTCGTGTTCCTCAACACATTACAATCACGCAGAAATTTCTAAAAACATATCACGTTATTTGCACATAAACGGTTATTTGTGAGTTTGGTCCCTCATTTAACACTCACATATCTCGGAATGGTTTCAAAGCTAACGTTAATATGACAGCACTACCCGAATGGATTTTTATGCAAAAAGTGAAACTTATAGTTCATAAAAAACGAAATTTGTACCCCTCCTTCATTAAGTTGTTATTGTTTGATGCATTTGAGGGTTATATCATGATGATATTTTGTAAAATGTTCGTACCGTTGAAAACCACTGTATTTTTAGGAATATATTTGACAGAACAATGAGCACATAAAACATTTAATTATATTTTTATATACTAGGAACGTGTTGCACGCAAGAAAGAAGATTAAAGAAATGCTGGGAAGAAATCCTAATCTGGGAACATTTTCAAAACAATTGCACCTGCTTCATGACCCAGGTCCTCATAGGATTATACTTTTTATTTGTAGAAGATTTGATGATGATACATGGCAAGTACTCGCTGAAGTTGTTTCCCAAGCACAAATTGATCATACCATAGAAAAACGACGGAAGGAAATGGCATTATTTGAACTATGTCAATATAGATCTCCAAGTTTGATTGTTAGTGGGATACAACAAATTGCCATTCTTGGAGAAAACTGTTCGCTGAGCAGTAGGAAGGGTGCACCGACAGGTGGTGTCGTCATCAAAGTCATCCGGGGAGGTGAAGACAACTTTATCAAATTTGTAGTCACGTTTACTGGCGAAAAGAAAATGGGAACTGTTCTCTTTCAAGCAGCAGGAATAGAAGAGCATTCGGCTTTCTTTGACCAAGAGGATATAGACAAGATCAACCGTTTCATCACATCCCAGAGAATTGCTTCATCCGAGTCACTTTCTGCAAATAGTGAGGCTGCAACCCCAGACACATCCATTTCAACGATGGCAAGGGCACAATCTGAAACAGAAACAGTACCTGAAAGTAAGTCATTTGGCATGTATACTGTTTTTTGCCATTTGTAAGTACCAATTACTTCATTTTCTTTCTAAACAAGGCGATTAAACCTTATGCTTGTTTTATATACCCCTTGAAATGATTTTCAAAATAAAATTGCAGAAATGTGAACATTATCTATTGATTTCGTATGATGCAGTTTAAAAGTACTCTGCAAAACAAGTGAGGCTAACACTTCACCTTGCTGAGTATCTTTACATCAATAAAATTACAATGCCGTCTTTTGTAGTATAAACATTTGGGAGTGGAATATCTACCAAGTGATATAATATTCATGAAAGCCATGCAAGCGTGAAAGTCTGTTGTCGCCTATACAATTCTGCCTTTCTATAACGACTGACAGAATCGCCATGATGCCACAGCTGTCAAACGTTTACAGTTACAGTTTGTTCCGGTGCTACGACAATAAACCTCTTGTTGAATCTTCTGAAATATTTGGTCGAGGTCCGACCATTTGCAAAACGTCAAATACCGTATAACGACTGCTCGGGGAGAACGCCGGATACGGCTGCATTACAGCATTGTTCATGCATATGAGACCTCGATACATTACGTTGGCGTCGTGTATCGCTACCTATCCAAAACCGCTTAAATGGCCGATTAAGAGCGAAGCTCCATTTTTACACGGCCATTTTTAAAGGAAAATACCGTAAAAACGCTTTACCTAGACTCGTTCACATCACTTTGAACAATATTCCAGATTCCACTTTCACGTGGTGACGAGAGGCGTAAACTTTTGGAAGTTTATCGAAGTGTCTTTCATGTTTAACTGATTACATAATCTATTTAAAATAAAATATTGGACCTGGCAGCTCTCCTGTAACGTCCATTGTGATGTTCTCTTTATAGCATCGACGTGAAGGCCTGTAATATAGGCTATATAACTATTTTCCTAAAGCAATTCACAGTTATAAAGATACAAATAAAGATGAAATAACTGACGGCTTACATTGTCTCCCGAAATGACTATCTCTCACGCTTACTCGATCGAAGTTCCAGCATCAGTACGAAGGAGTTTCTGGTAATATTCATTGTTCCGCACTTCCATGTTATCACACACGTTGTTTAATTACAGAATTTTTCGGAGACAAAAGTATGCATTACCTTATAAAGCAGATCGCACCAGACAAGATGTTGGAACTGGCCATCAGTCTAGGAATAGGGAATGTAGAGGTCCAGGATCTCAGGGTGAAACATAGTGGTACTCCCGAATTGCTGAGGCTGAACATCATCACACGTTGGCTCGGAGGTCAGACATGTTCGGACCAGGAAAGAGTGGAAACCCTGTGTAAAGCTTTGGAAGAAGGAGACTTGAAAAGGATTGCCGACATTGTGGTCTCTGTGTTCAAGAAGAGTCGGCCTTTAGAGAAAACTGACTTTGAGTGACGAGCTCAAAGACATTGGCATAAGGTTCAAGCTGTACAATATTCATCATCCAATCATCCACAAATTCCTTCAGTCAGCTCGACGTAGAAAAAACTGCACACTAGCCCACATTGTATGGTTCACTAAATTATTTGGCTATATATTAGTAGAATAATATGTTTTAAGTAATTCGTATCCTACGGACATACCTCCATTAGGATCCAGTGTTATATGGGATTTTACCGTCTATATTACTTCTTTGACCCATATTATATATTAGTATATATATCAAATTTCATTTGTCGTTTCAGACATGTTGTTGCAAGTTTAATACTATTTCGGCATTATGTGTATTAATGCAAATTTAGCACCAAAATAGCACGAATGATTCTCATTGCTTTCATATTCCATTTATGTTTATTAATAATTTTGAATTGTAACATCAAAGTCCCTTGTTACCTAACTAGTTTAATATAACAAACATGAATTTGGTTTATAACTTTTACATCGAACATACAGAATTACATTCATTAATCCATAAGTTACACGCTTTGCACTTAGTCGTATATGGATAGATTTGTTTTATCTGTTGTTTTCCTCAGCGAAATAATTGTGTTAAACTAATGCCAAAAAACTGTTACTTCACATGGGATATTAATTTAATCAATAAATCTTACACAGGCAATATATTGGGATTGAATGTCCATGCCAGAAGCAGGCTTTATGTTTAATATGGAAGTAACCGATTTGCGTTCATCCCGGTATGAAAATTTAAAAAACGCCGTTTAATCCATATCTTTACATTTTACTATAGAGCAATTGTTTAATTTTATTGTTTGTTCTTAAATTATTAATTTATATACTGCGTTTTGTATATGCGTCGTCGTTTCAACGACATTGGCGGAACAACCCTTTCTCAATAAAATTGGCGCCAATAATTATCCGTAGTCATTTGAGCGTGTGAACAAGATTGATATATGACGTCATAAGTAAACCATGTGTTACGTCACAGGAGTTTTTGCTTTCTTGCTCAAATGAAATGCATTTCTGCTAGTAATTTGCAAACATATGCAGATGAGGACAACATGGTCACAATCAAATAACGCCACGCTTTATGCGGAGAAGCACTTGTTCGTACGTAACTGCAACAATGAGAATCCTTATTGTATATATAACAGTTTTCGTTTCATGCTATTTTTGTGTTTCAGTGCATCTGTTCTATTTCCATAAATACAGTGAATGTGGGTGCGTTTTTGTGCTGCTATTTTATATTTAGAAACTAAGCTATTTCCTTTTTTTATCGAGTTTTTACGGTTATTTGTTTATAAACCTTGAATTAAAAAGTATGTCCATTCGGCAAAAATCACAGTTGATTTTGGGATTGAGCCTGTTTAATAGCAACTATCTTATAACGTCAGTAAATGAGAACAATTGGTGCATATTTCATTAGGTTATTGATACTTGTATTTATTATAATTGACTAGGATTTCAGGACAATGACTATCCTAAATAATTATGTATTTCAGTTAAATTTTTGAGTGTGCCTGAATTATTGCAATCATCTTGCCAAATTTGCAAACAGGTGAAAGTTGTGCGTTTTTTATTAGGTTTTCGCTGTCCCCTTAATATAATTTTGCGTTAATATTTGTTTTTAACATTGCGTTGATTTTCAACAAAGTTTGGTTTATAACTAATGATTGGTTTTCCTTTTCCATAGCAAAGTTTTTTCGTTCCATACGTAGATTTCACCAAAGTTTGGTGTAAAAGGTCAATGTTTGCATAACACATGATGGATATTCTATCTCTTTTTATATTTTCTTTATATATATTAATTTATACCAAACTTTGGTGTCAGATGTCAATGTTTGTATAACACATTATCAATTTCCATAGCATATTTTTTACTATAACTCGAGTTTCACCAAAGTTAAATGTATAATGTCAATATTTGAATAACATGATTGGTTTTCTTTACCTATAGCATTTTTTTTTTTTACTATCTCAATAAGGATTAAAAAACAGTTTAATGTATGATGTCAATGTTTAAATAACATAGTCGGTTTTAAATTGCCATAGCCTACTTTTAAGTCTTCATGGATTTTAACCAAAGTTATGAGTACGATGCCAATGTTTGTATAACATGATTGTTTTCCTTCCCTTAGCATATTTGTAACTTTACATGGATTTTAACCAAAGTAATGTACATGATGTCAATATTTGAATAATATGATTTTTTTTCCATCCAATGGTATATGTTTAACTCGACATGGATTTCAACCAAAGTGAGATTCACGATGTCAACATTTGTATAACATGACTGGTTTTCTATTCCCATAGCCTTTTTCAAATTCTAAGTGAATTTTCACTCAACAATGGTGTAAAATTTCAATATTTGTATATCATATGATGGATTTTCCATTTCCAAAACACATTTTTAACCTTACATAGATTTTCATCAAATGTTTTTATTACAAGTGATTGGTTTTCCTTTTCTATATTAGATATTTCAACTATGTGTGAATTTTTACCATGGCTTGAAGTATGATGTCCATGGTTGTATTTCGTATGGTTGATTTTCCATTTCATGAGCATAATTTCATATGGGGTTGGGTTCTGACTCTTTATTCTCCTAAACGTTCTTATGTTAAAATGTCACTGATAGTTATAATATAACATTCCCTTGATAATTCTAATGTAACATTCTCTTGATAATAATAATGTTACATTCCCCTGATAGATATACTGCTACTTTCCCCTCATTGTTCTAATGTCACATTCCCCTGATAGTTATGATGTTACATTCCTCTGATAGTTCTAATATGACATTCCCGAACAGTTCTATTGTTACATTCCTTTGACAGTTATCATGTAACATTCCAAAGATAGTTATAATGTTACATTTTCTTGATAGTTCTAATGTTACATTCCTAGGATAGTTATAATGTTACATTTTCTTGATAGTTCCAATGTTGTATTCCACAGATAGTTCTAATGTTACATTCCCCTAATAGTTCTAATGTTACATTCCAAAGATAAATATACTGTTACATTCCCTTGAAAGTTATAATATTATATTCCGGAAGAGTTATATTGAAACATTCCCGAAGAGTTATATTGTAACATTCCCCCAATAGTTATACTGTTACATTCCCGAAGAGTTATATTGTAACATTCCCCCAATATTTATAATGTTACATTACCGAAGAGTTATATTGTAACATTCCTCTGATAGATATAATGTTACATTCCATTGACTGTTATACTGTTACATTCCCGAAGAGTTATATTGTAACATTCCCGTGATATTTATAATGTTACATTCCTGAAGAGCTATATTGTAACATTCCCTTGATTGTTATAATGTTACATTCCCCCAATATTTATAATGTTACATTACCGAAGAGTTTTATTGTAACATTCCTCTGATAGATATAATGTTACATTCCATTGACTGTTATACTGTTACATTCCCGAAGAGTTATATTGTAAAATTCCTATGATAGTTATAATGTTACATTTCCCTGATAGTTATAATGTTACATTACCGAAGAGTTATATTGTAACATTCCTCTGCTAGATATAATGTTACATTTCATTGACTGTTATACTGTTACATTCCCGAAGAGATATATTGTAAAATTCCTATGATAGTTATAATGTTACATTTCCCTGATAGTTATAATGTTACATTACCGAATAGTTATATTGTAACATTCCCCTGATAGTTAAAATGTTACATTCCCGAAGAGTTATATTGTAACATTCCCCTGATAGATATAATGTTACATTCCCGAGGACTTATATTGAAACATTCCCCTGATAGATATAATGTTACATTCCCGAAGAGTTATATTGTAACATTCCCCCAATAGTTAAAATGTTACATTCCATTGATAGTTATAATGTTACATCCTCGAATAGTTATATTGTAACATTTCCCTGATAGTTATAATGTTACATTCCATTTATAGTTATAATGTAACATTCCCGAAGAGTTATATTGTAACATTCCCTTGATAGTTATACTATTACATTCCTGAAGAGCTATATTGTAACATTCCCTTGATAGTTATACTGTTACATTCCATTGACTGTTATACTGTTACATTCCCGAAGAGTTACATTGTAACATTCCCCTGATAGTTATAATGTTACATTCCTGAAGAGCTATATTGTTACATTCCCTTGATTGTTATAATGTTACATTCCCCCAATATCTATAATGTTACATTTCCGAAGAGTTTTATTGTAACATTCCTCTGATAGATATAATGTTACATTCCACTGACTGTTATACTGTTACATTCCCGAAGAGTTATATTGTAACATTCCTATGATAGTTATAATGTTACATTCCCCTGAGAGTTATAATGTTACATTACCGAAGAGTTATATTGTAACATTCCTCCGATAGTTATAATAATACATTCCCCTGATAGTTATTATGTACATTCCCGAAGAGTTATATTGAAACATTCCCCCAATAGTTATACTGTTACATTCCCGAGGAGTTATATTGTAACATTCCTCCGATAGTTATAATAATACATTCCCCTGATAGTTATAATGTTACATTACCGAATAGTTATATTGTAACATTCCCCTGATAGTTATTATGTTACATTCCCGAAGAGTTATATTGTAACATTCCCCTGATAGATATAATGTTACATTCCCGAAGACTTATATTGAAATATTCCCCTGATAGATATAATGTTACATTCCCGAAGAGTTATATTGTAACATTCCCCCAATAGTTAAAATGTTACATTCCATTGATAGTTATAATGTTACATTCTCGAATAGTTATATTGGAACATTTCCCTGATAGTTATAATGTTACATTCCATTGATAGTTATAATGTAACATTCCCGAAGAGTTATATTGTAACATTCCCTTGATAGTTATACTATTACATTCCTGTAGAGCTATATTGTATTTTTACACCTCAAGTGAATTTCTAGCTATCTGATTGGTTGGGAAAAAATCAAACAAAATCTGTTACCCTCCGAAAAAACATTGGTTTTAAGGGGCGCGGGTGAAATTGCCATGAGACAGAGAAAATTTATAACATGCGCGAAAATGTGCGTTCCGGGTTCTTCACAGTGGCCATTTTTCTCCGCTTCGTTTCCCCCACCATGATGGTCACAAGAACGTTTGACGGCAACATCCAATTTTATCAAGCGCCGGTGCGATAGCGATTGTAAACAGTAGACTATCACATACAAGATATCATTATCGAGGTTTGCTGCCGTTTTTTGAGCTACATATGGAGGAGATTCCTTCCTCCAAGGACTCAAAAAACACTCAGAGGGTGGTTAAAGGAAGCTGCCGGGTATTCAGAGAGTTTCCAGGCGAGGATAGTAATTTTGAAGACTTTACGTAGCAGAAACTCAATGAAAAACGTAAAACATTTTTTGCTTCAGTAAATATTCATATAAAGACTTTTGGTGTAACAAAAAAGATATAACATTCATTAGCAGGTGACAGTGAATAATGTCAACCCTCAAAAACCCATTGTCACCCTCAGCTTTGCCTCGGGTGACAATGTTTTGTCGGGTGACAATATTCACGGTCACCTGCTAATGAATGTCATATTTATATAACCTTCCCCTGATAGATATAATGTTACAACCCATTGATAGTTATAATGACAAGGTCATCGTTTCGAATTACAAAAAAAAATATGTGTCATCATTTTATCACTATATATCAAAAAGCATCATTCGTAATGTTATATTTCTTAAATGACTGAATTAAAACTTGACACAATATTTTAAATATGAACATACCAGGAATGAGTGCGCGTTAGAATGTTACCTGCCACGGCAAATGTCGCCATTTCTTTGATGGTATTTTTTAAGCATTTGTCATCATCCTAAATATTTTCTTTCTTAATTGTACGTTCAAATCTGAAATAGTTCTGGATTGCTCTTGTTTACACGTTTGAGAAATTAAAAAAATGTATATCGAAATCCAAAATTTAAAGTTAATATGCTTAGCTTTGCAGACGTAAATCATGACGTCGAATGACTACAACAATGATATATTGTTATTCCAGACCCTGAAAAATGTACTCTGCAATCGTTTTTGGTAATAATATCCGTTTAAATATACCACATAATTGTTTGATATTTGCGTGTGCAGTGAAACTTTTCTAAAAAAAGAACACCACCAGGACTTATATAACGTAAAGTACCTATAGGAATGTGTAAAAAAAAGCGTAATCAGGGTTGGTCTAATACAGGTGTCCATATTAAGTAATTTTTAGTGTCAACAAACATATTACCGATGCATTGACGACAAAGAGATATTTTCTTATTGTAAAAGTGGAAATTTTCGCTGTGTGGAAATCTCTAGTTTTTCGGGTAGGTAAATAGATGCGACAATACCCACAGACATATATGTATTTATAAATGATACAGAGTGTTAATATGTAGAATATGTGGATTTCAGAACTTCTGCCAACGCGATCATTTCGACGCCGGGATCTTCCCACTTGCGACAATTTCTTCTTTTATATTATCTATTTACATTCATCTGTTTGGTTTCGTTCAGGACAATGCTTTTCATCAAGTTTTGCCGATATATCAGACTTTGGTAATGTGCCTTGGCTCCCAGTTTGATAATGTAGCAGTACGAAATATTATTCATTCTTTCATATTTGACGTTTTATTACTCATTATAAGTCATAATGAGTCTTACATATAATAGAAAACAAAAATATCAAGAAGACTTGTTTGCTTTAAGGGTAAAATGTAGATGTGGAAAGTTTATTAAATATTTCATTCAATGAAACTATTACATAATGCTAAATTGTTCAAAATCAAATCAGCGTAAACTAAGCTATTATATATTAATACTTTCAGATTTCTTTATATTCAGTAAAAATAGAGTTTTTGGAAAATGATGATTTTTGGTAATTTTAACAACATGAAATATATTTGTTTTTCTCACAACGTGAAGACCAAAATGGGTTTTTATCGTAAAGTACAAAACTTGTGTTTGATTTCTTTGAATTTGCTACTGTATATTAAACATTTTTATTATACCCTAAATGAAGTCTTTCGTGTTATGATTGTTTGATAACTGGAAGTTATGTTCATATAACAATTTCGCAAAAGTGTTGAATAGTAAAAACACGTCAAACATTTTCGTGATGAAAAAAGTTATTGTCAAGACGTGTAAAATTAAAGTTAGATAATGGCGGTCACAAGCTGACCTGATTGAGCTATTATATATTAAATTATATTACAAAAAATAAAAATAAAATATGAAAAAAAAATGTTAAGCACGTATTAAGTTTGAAGATGAAGGTAGGACTTATATATATGATAACACCTATAACATTTGGTCATTGATACAGTATGCGGAAAAATGAATGACTGCTTCAATTAACTATTGAGTCCGCCTAGGACTTATTGGTTATGTTAGTGACCAAAAACGATGAAATATAAATAGTTCTAACTATTGTCGAAAGCGAAAAGATGGACATTCAACCCCTTAATTATGAGAATTTTACAATTGTAAAAGTGATGGGAATTTTTGTTTTAATTGATGATTAGTATATTATCATGAACCCTGCAACTAGTCAAAAGAGATAACTGTCGTCATCAAGATTACAGCACCAACATAGTCTACCATCTTGAATTAACGTAAGACAGACACTGGTCATTGCATGTATAAAATTTGGTAATTGCAATAGTATGCAAAAATTGAACTACACTACATGATACAAATTACATCATCTCAGGTATTTCGAAGACCTGTGATGACATCACATTATTTGATGAAACATTACTGTTACAAAAACAATATTTAACTGAGAATACCATGTTAGTTACAGACTGCTTCAGGATAACGTTCAATGCTGTGGAATATTAACTACACGTATAATCATAGTGTAATGAACAGGTTCAGAAGTGAATTATCACTCATACAAAGCTTTTATTTGAGTAAGGCAACAGACCACAGGCAAACTCAATGCAGCATAGCAGAATAGTTATGCTGGCTGCAAGTTTGATTTACACAGATTTTTTCGCAATCTAGGTTTGCATGTTTTATCTGTAATTCTTATTTCATAGATATTTACTTATAAACACATAATTATGAGATAAAAAATCAATAAAATAACGGAAATGTCATAAAAATATTTGCTAGCTAACCAAAACATGTCTTGGATATTAATAGTTGAACAAAACCTGTAGAGATCCGGTCTGAAAGGGAATAAATTAAAACGTTTTCTTTTGGTAGAAAATGCAGTGAAATAACAGTCTAATTCAGACCATAAATCAATGCATAGTGTGGCGTGATAACGACTTTAACCTGCAACAGTTATCTCAGAGCATGTAAGATGAAACATGTCATGTATTAAGGCACATTGTTTAGATAAGGTTACATACTAATAGTGTTAAGATAAGGTAACGAAAAACAGTGTTTAGATAAGGTAACTTACAAACAGTGTTGAAATAAGGCTACATAGAAACAGTGTTAAGATCAGGTAACATAGAAACAGTGTAAAGATAAGGTAGCATAGAAACAGTGTTTAGATAAGGTAACAAACAAACAGTGTTATGATGAGGTAACATACAACAGTGTTAAGATAAGGTAACATACGGAAAGAGTTAAGATAAGGTAACATACAAGCAGTGTTAAGTTAAGGTAACGTATAAACAGTGTTTAGGTAAGGTAACTTACAAACAGTGTTGAAATAAGGCAACATAGAAACAGTGTTAAGATCAGGTAACATAGAAACAGTGTAAAGATAAGGTAGCATAGAAACAGTGTTTAGATAAGGTAACATACAAACAGTGTTATGATGAAGAGTTAAGTTATGGTAACATACAAACAGTGTTAAGATAAAGTAACATAGAAACAATGTAAAGATAAGGTAGCATAGAAACAGTGTTTAGATAAGGTAACATACCAACAGTGTTATGATAAGGTAACATACAACAGTGTTAAGAATAGGTAACATACGGACAGAGTTAGGATAAGGTAACATACAAACAGTGTTAAGATAAGGTAACGAATAAACAGTGTTAAAATAAGGTAACATACAAACAGTGTTAATATAAGGTAACATCCAACAGTTTAAAGATAAGGTAACGTATATACAGTGTTAAGATAAGGTAACGTATAAACAGTGTTAGAATAAGGTAACATACAAACAGTGTTAATATAAGATAACGTATAAACAGTGTTAAGATAAGGTAACATACAAACAGTGTTAAGATAAGGTAACATCCAACAGTGTTAAGATAAGGTAACATACAAACAGTGTTATGATAAGTAACATACAACAGTGTTAAGATAAGGTAACATCCAACAGTGTTAAGATAAGGTTACATATAAACAGTGTTAAGATAAGGTAACATACAAACAGTGTTAAGGTAAGGTAACATAGAAACAATGTAAAGATAAGGTAGCATAGAAACAGTGTTTAGATAAGGTAACATACTAACAGTGTTATGATAAGGTTACATACAACAGTGTTAAGAATAGGTAACATACGGACAGAGTTAGGATAAGGTAACATACAAACAGTGTTAAGATAAGGTAACGAATAAACAGTGTTAAAATAAGGTAACATACAAACAGTGTTAATATAAGGTAACATCCAACAGTTTAAAGATAAGGTAACGTATATACAGTGTTAAGATAAGGTAACGTATAAACAATGTTAGAATAAGGTAACATGCAAACAGTGTTAATATAAGATAACGTATAAACAGTATTAAGATAAGGTAACATACAAACAGTGTAAATATAAGGTAACATCCAACAGTGTTAAGATAAGGTAACATACAAACAGTGTTATGATAAGTAACATACAACAGTGTTAAGATAAGGTAACATCCAACATTGTTAAGATAAGGTTACGTATAAACAGTGTTAAGATAAGGTAACATACAAACAGTGTTAATATAAGATAACGTATAAACAGTGTTAAGATAAGGTAACATACAAACAGTGTTAAGATAAGGTAACATCCAACAGTGTTAAGATAAGGTAACATACAAACAGTTTTAAGATTAGGTAACATACAAACAGTGTTAAGATAAGGTAACGTATAAGCAGTGTTAAGATAAGGTAACGTATAAACAGTTTTAAGATAAGGTAACATAGAAACAGTGTTAAGATAAGGTAACGTATATACAGTGTTAAGATAAGGTAACATACAAACAGTGTTAATAATAGGTAATATACGGACAGAGTTAAGATAAGGTAACATACTAACAGTGTTAAGATAAGGTAACATCCAACAGTTTTAAGATAAGGTTACGTATAAACAGTGTTTAGATAAGGTAACATCCAAACAGTGTTAAGATAAGGTAACATCCAACAGTTTTAAGATAAGGTAACATACAAACAGTGTTAAGATAAGGTAACGTATAAACAGTGTTTAAATAAGGTAACACACAAACAGTGTTATTATAACGTAACGTATAAACAGTGTTAAGTTAAGGTAACATACAAACAGTGTAAATATAAGGTAACATCCAACAGTGTTAAGATAAGGTAACATATAAACAGTGTTAAGAAAGATAACATTAAAACAGTGCTAATATTAAGTAACATACAACAGTGTTTAGATAAGGTATCATACAAACAGTATTAAGATAAGGTAACATCCAACAGTGTTAAGATAAGGTAGCATACAAACAGTAATAATATAAGGTAACGTATAAACAGTGTTAAGAAAGATATCATAAAAACAGTGTTAATATAAGGTAATGTATATACAGTGTTAAGATAAGGTAACATACGGACAGAGTTAAGATTAGGTAACATACAAACAGTGTTAAGATAAGGTAACATACAAACAGTGTTAAGATAAGGTAACATCCAACAGTGTTAAGATAAGGTAACGTATAAACAGTGTTAAGATAAGATAACATTAAAACAGTGTTAATATAAGGTAACACCCAATAGTGTTAAGATAAGGTAACATATAAACAGTGTTAAGATAAGGTAACAACAGTGTTAAAATTAGGTAACATACAAACAGTGTTAAGATAAGGTAACGTATAAACAGTGTTAAGAAAGATAACATAAAAACAGTGTTAATATTGAGTAACATACAACAGTCTTAAGATAAGGTAACATACAAACAGTGTTAAGATAAGGTAACACAAGAACAGTGTGTATATAAGGTTACATAAAACAGTGTAAAGATAAGGTTACATAAAAACAGTGTAAAGATAAGGTAACATATACCGATAAAATGTCTATGTTGAAACAATTAAACAAGAATGCTTTCTAGTATCCAATCTCCGCTGTTATAAATTTGAGGACGCTTCAAATCGAGCGATTGTAAAATTATTATCTGTCATAGCAAATATGGAAAATCCCACACAAAGTTAGAATTACAATAAACTTAATTTGCGTATAAGCAGTAAATGCAGATGGCACGAATGTGCGATTAGCTGCTGGGAACCTTTTACTATTTTGTTTTTAAGTGGTATATAATTTCCTGGTTTTGTTATATTTAAACGCGGATCGGGAAACAACCTATATACGCAGTGCACTGTCGACTAATGAAAGGGTCGCGCAATGTCTTGCTGTATTCTTCGTTAGAGATATATTATCGTAGGTGAGGATATAAATACATTTTACCTGCGGCAAATCACGTTATCGATATTATATCTTCACTTCAGTTTATTCTGTTAATCTATTAAAGACGTCATCACCGTTCGTTTGATGCATGGTTAGCTTAACGAGAATGTGACGCAAAACTTCAATCGAGTATAATTTTAAAACTAAAACTATATTTATAATTATTCAAAACAATCACATATACAGATGGAACACGCAAAAAACTGTTTGTAAACTTTCAGATATTTTAATAATAACAATAAAAAGATAAATAAATTAATAACATGTAATTAATTGTTTTTAATGATTCGTTATGAAAGCTAGGACGTGAACAACTGCTCCTTTATCAAAATTCCGGACAATTCGATGACCTATTTACCATCTAATTATTACACGTTGGGGCAGTTAAATGCTCTGATTAATAACATATTGCTATGCAGCAGATTTAATCATTCGTAATTAATGTCGTATTCATATTTGATGACTGAAAAATAAAGGAGGACGAGGACGAGAAGGACGAGGAGGACGAGGACGAGGAGGAGGAGGAGGAGAAGAAGGACGAGGAGGAGGACGAGGAGGAGGAGAACGAGGACGAGGAGGACGAGGAGGAGGAGGAGGAGGAGGAGGACGACGAGGAGGACGAGGAAGAGGACGAGGACGAGGACGACGAGGAGGGGAGGAGGACGAGGAGGACGAGGACGAGGACGAGGAGGACGAGGAGGACGAGGACGAGGAGGACGAGGAGGACGAGGAGGAGGAGGAGGAGGAGGAAGGGGAGGAGGACGAGGAGGACGAGGACGACCCGATTAGGATTTGTGATGTATGTACCAGTTATACATTTGTATGTAAGCGTTACTTGTTTTGCAAATGTAGATCCAATAAGTTGTAAAACCTACGGAAATAAATTGAATTCACTAATAGTTTAGTTATTTTAGCATGTTTATCTCGTGGACTAGTATATCCTTGATATGCTATAGACTTGCATTGTAAACACTACACAACCACCAAGTCTCCCTGATCAACACCGGTCTAGACTAACAGGTCATGAACGCCTTCCATCGAGGTTGAGTCCGGAACAAAGGCGACCTAAGTGAAGCTATATGTGATTTTACCCGGATAAACATGAAGCAACCAAAAACATCCTCCACGCATGTTCCTTTAGTGTTATACATCTGATCGCCGATTGTTCTACAATAGCAGTTTTTCTCAGACACTGTGCATATTTCGTGATAGTAATAAATTTAACACAATAAACAAAACGAGAAATAGTATATTGAGTCGAAGATAATTTTCCAAACAACTTCTTGACCGTAAATCCGGAAAAAATACGAAACCCAGAACGAATTATCTCCGATGATCTTACATGACTCAATGTGATTAGGGAGCGGAATCCGACAAGCGCATACAAAATAATGTCCTAGCTTTATCAGTAGGACAATATGTACATGTATGTTGGATGACCCTGGGGAACCAGGATGTTAAAAGACAGCACATAAAAAGGCTATATGACTATAGGGAACTATGGTGTTAATAGAGATTAGTACCAATTACCCCAGAGAACACTAAATATAGGGATTAATATATATTACGGCTTTCTGCGACTTGGAGATGCTGTCGTTTTAGCCAGTTTACACATTGATTATTTCCGATTGTTTATCGAGGAGTTCCGATTGTCGATATTCCTCGCCGGGATCACCCAACGGCGAGGAAATTATCCATCTGCTCTAAAACTCGTCTAACGGAAACGACCAATCAGAAATTGTTTTGGGGATATCCCATAAGGACAAATACAGTATAAATGCATCCAGTCTTATAAGACTTCTAGACAGAGTAAATAAACACATCCTACATGCTACACATAACGGTATATGCTGCAAGATATCAGTATGGTATGATATTTTATTTGGAAAATATTGACTTTTTTTTAAAACAATTATGAAACAATTAATTTCAACTTATATTAATCACTCCTATTCGCCAAGATTTTAGCGCAGGGAGGGGTGTGTGCGTCTTAATGTTGAAGGAAACCGTATTTACTCATTTTCAACATTGACGCTTCTTTTCATTGTCATCGGGTTATAAAAATAACAACAAAAACATTAAGATCGACAACTGTATTTTGCTCCCTTAAAACAAAACAAAAAAGAGGAAAAAAATACTTAGTTCTTACTATATACATGTATTGTAAGAAATAGAATCAATTGAATTGTTCGTATTAATATCGCTTTATAGATATACATACATAAAAATAATGACATTTTTATAAACATTTTTTTTATGATTATTTACTATCATAGTAAACTAGCTATTATTGAACAATTTAGCTAGTCTTGATAGCATTTTTTGTAATCACTCTTTTTTTGTAGGTTGGGAAAACTTTCACTACCCTGATTGACTTCTTAATGCTTCAAGCTATCGGTAAATGTACTTTGGGACAACAGGTGTGTGATTCGCTGGCAAGCCCACCAATATTTATGAAACAACTTTCTGATCTAAGAAATGAGACAATGGCAGTAATCGACCCAGCATATAGAGGTCTGGCGTCAGAAGATGACGTCATTAAAACGGAGGTGCCAGTCGTGCCGCGAGGAACAGCATTCTTAGAAGATCGCCTACGCGCCGTGTGTCCTTGGAGCTACGTACGAAATGAAGATCCCAACAGAATTCCACAGGTGATTTTTGAAGCAAAATGCGATCATCAAACGACATGTTTCGGTGTTCTTGGTAACCATGACGCATTACCAATGAGGAGACCGGTATGTTCGGGACTGTACTACTACGCAAGTGTTATGCGCAGAACCGGATGTGACAGCAATGGACAAAATCAGTATGAGAGGGTGATGCAAAAGATTGGTGCAGGTTGTACTGGTTTAAGACCGGCAAGCTCTTAAGTAACGTAGCAGGGATCTAAGTCTGACAATTATTAATTGTTTCGTTTTAGATGAACTCTCACAATCCTTTCAATCAATTTCAATGAATGTTACCTTGCAATAAACTTTTTAAAAAGTTTGTTATTGACATTTTTATATAAAGCCTAGGACACTATCGCAGCTGTTCCAAATATCTTTAAAACGCGTTTATCTGATGGGCGAAGTCTGTCTTTGTCTGTCTTTTTCGACCGCTATTGTAATATCCGTAAGATTTGTGCATTTTGTAAACAAATCATTTGCACTGTTAATACTCTATTGAGAGAGAGGGAGAGAATTTTCTGTATAAGATATCTTATATAATATATATGATATATCATATTCTATATGAGATATCTTAAATAAATAATGAGATATCTTATTTAATATATAAGATATCTTATTTTATATATAAGATATATCATATTCTATATAAGATATCTCATATTTTAAAGCTCGACACTATATAAGATATCTTATATAGGAGCGAGATTTTAACAAAATGTCAAAAACGAAGTCTCCCAAACCGGAATCTCTCAAGGATCTAGTACACAAAAAGGCAGTATGCTTGCTGTCAAGACGTGGTCCTATCGCCATTTTGTCAGAGCCCGCTCAAAGGGTGCGTGAAATGGCAACCTCTGGAAAACGTTGAACAAATTAGTTTCCCATGTTTAAAACCTCTAAATCTCATTCTATATAAGATATCTCATATGATAACAATATCTCAATTATATATGTTGTCTTATATTAGCATATCAGATATCTTATATATATATGGTTTCTGAGCATGTACAAAATGTGACATTTATCAGATACCATAGTGGCGGTTTTATCCCCACCTAGGACCAAACTATTTTATGTACATGTTCCATATTGGTTTATGTTATGGAAATATTTTCAATTGTCGTTTATACAAATCAAACGGCCAATTTCAATTCAATCATGTGTTTGGTTATTTATGTTCAGTTTGGTCCAACAAGCTTGCCCTGTCTGAAGTCATGTATAATAAACAATTAAAATACAATTTTAATAAATTTTATACATGCGGTTATTGATTGATTCACTTGATGTTATGTGTTCAGTATATAAATAAACAGTTTGTAAACAGTGAATGGGGTTGTGGGTCAGGAGGTGAAAAGGTCATGCGCATTGATCTGGTTATATAAACTGATTGCGCAGCATCAGCTTACTACAGCCGCTGCAGACATCGCCTACAACCACAAAGATGGAGACTGGTCAAGGTCAGTTTTGTTGTTTAAAGTACAATCATTTTTGACCCGCCTCCTCCCCATCTTCCTCCATCTGGTATTGCGGTACTTACCTGTTAATTATTATCCAGGTGGCGGTTTTATCCCCACCTAGGACCAAACTATTTTATGTACATGTTCCATATTGGTTTATGTGTTGGAAATATTTTCAATTGTCGTTTATACAAATCAAACGGCCAATTTCAATTCAATCATGTGTTTGGTTATTTATGTTCAGTTTGGTCCAACATGTATAAATATATATAATCAAATAAGGTACTTAATAAATTACATAAGATATACATAATTAAGATATCTAAGTTAATTTCTAAATGAGATATCTCATATACTATATCAGATAGTTCATATACTGTATCAGATAGTTCATATACTATATAAGATATATCACATACTATATCAGATAGTTCATATACTATATAAGATATATCACATACTATATCAGATAGTTCATATACTATATAAGATATCTTTTAGTGCTCCTTGAATAAATGTTAAGTTGGCTTGCCATTTTTTGGTCGCCGTTTAAGCCGCTTCAGAGTTAAGATTTCCGTACATCTGCATTGAAAGTATTTTACTGAACTTCACACTAAGTAAATGGAAGGAAGAATACATTCTAGATGCGATATTTATCAATTAAAAGGATCAAATAGTCTAGTTTTATAAAATGCTTCAGTGTTATGATTGTTTATGCGGAGGACACGGAGTTTTTTTGCCTCCCTGTAGTATTTAACTACAGAGGGGAGACTGTAGCGTGCACGATCTAGTATTATCAATACTCTTACTGTACGAAAGTTTACACTGGCAAAGTTTCTCTTTTTCTTTCAGAAGGAAAATCAATGGTTTTAACCATTTAACTTTTCAAAAGTATGTTTTGTTTTCTGTTTTTTTTGTTATTGTTTACATGCATCAACATTAAGCTATGTATATGTGTAAATGACTGTACTCATATTTCATTTAATGCTACATCATTCAACATGTCAATGTGTTCTATTTGCTCTCGATATACGTGTAAACCTTACAAAATGTAATAAAATTCGAAAAGTGTGTGACCGAGTTCTCCGCATAATAACCATAACCACTGAAGGTGTGTAGCAAAACTAGAAATAATTGATCAATATAACATCTAGACTGTTTTCTACCCGCCGTCCACTTAGTGTGCTATACATGTCTTTCGTCAGGTCGCCTTATACAACACAAACAGAGCATTATCAAATCTGTTCCTGTTAGGAATTTTCAACCATCGGTGGTGTAGCCGTTATAGAATGTATTGTAAACATATTTCTTTTATCTAATGAAACATACACACAGTTTAAAAACACGCCTCGTGAACCGGTTGAATAGATTATATGATGACAGAAATACAGAAATAATTTAACGAGATAATGAGAATTGAGGAAATAGAATTCTGTCATTGTTTAGAGTAACCTGCGTGGGTGTAAACTTGGTACGTGGGAAGTGGCCTACAAATTCTGTATATTTATACTGGGTTAAATAAACTTGATTTTTCCGGGTTCATTGTGTGTGAAACACTTAATATTGCATTGCAGACGGCAGACGTCGAAGGGAGATAACTCTTGAAAATGTCCGGGTTCGTGGGGTGTAAACCTTATTCAGGCGTCATAGAGAGGTTACTTTCACAAATACTGTTTCGTTCTAAAGTATAAACTTTATTTATTTTAAATCAATTATTAAATAAGTTATTTCAACTTATATTAATCTATCTTTTTAGCCCCGACTATTCGCGCGTGGAGGGGGTCTTAATGTGAGAGGAAACCGGAGTACACAGAGAAAACCCACGTGGTCGGGCTACGTCAGATCGAGGAATCGAACCCCCGGCCGCCCTTATGAAAGGCAAGTGCGCTATCCACTGCGCCACCCGATCACTCGAATCGTTCTATGCTATAGTTATATATTAAGTTTATGCTGCGCATTTTAATTTATCAACTTCACATATGGGATTGAGATTATGTTGAATATGATAATTAGCAAATGATTAGTTAGACTTCAGAATTATATGTAATTAGTATGTCAACAAGAACGAACTCTTAATTAAAAATCAGGCATATTTGTGTCTCTCAAGTATCAATATCTTAATAGTCACTAAAAATTGGTTTTGTTTTCGTCGTGTGCAGCAATAAATACACAAGTAAACACTAGCTAATAGTCACAACTTTTGTTATCAGCAATTTTAATATTTCAAATATTGAAAGACATTTGTAGAAATAATAAATTCATTCATAAAGTCATCTAATAAATATATTCATAAATTCATCAAATAAATTTATCTAAGAAAACTTACATGATGTTGACTTAGAGAGTAATATAAATATATAAACTACCGGTGTAACCAACTCTGCAGGTTGTTCATCACGGCCTATACACAAAAATGATATAATGTTTTACCCAATGCTATGAAAACGGTGTAGACACAAAAATAATATGAAAAGGCAAAAGCCGTAAAAGAGCGAAGTTTTTGTTGATCTCTGATATTTACTGATTCAGAATGAGATAATACTGCTTTCAGAATGAGGTAAGATAAAATGTATTTAAAGTCGGCTAGTCGAGGGATAACAATAAAACATAATGTCTAATGGGATTAAGACCGACATAACAATAGGGGAGATCGGGGCAAATTCGGCCCTTTATTTAAAGTCCGTTTTGGGAAGTATGGCAGCACGTTTGTTTTTGAATTTTTCCTGTCGGATGATCGTATGGCCGAACGAGCCCCGCCATGGGATAAGTTCGGACAGGCATTGGGGTAAATTCGGCCCCATTGGAATCAGCTTAAGTATGATGTTATAAAGCATGCAGCGTCAGATTTTACCGCCAATTTTACGACTTTTTATGTGTTACATGGGCCGAACTTGCCACGGTATCATTGGGCGAAACTGTCCAAAATTGATATTTCAATAAATTCTTATCGTACAGCAATATGGTATTGAGTGCTTGGCTTGACTTTTATGTATATCATTTGAAGCTGTCAGCGTGTTACACGTTTGACCGTAAAACAAATAGCAATTTCGTTTACAGAAAGTTCGCATAACTAGAAGCGAGATCATGATTTTCTTTCTACCCTCTCAAAAGTAATTTTCTCCTGTTAAGTAATTTTAAATTAGAGTTTTCCTCGCCATTTTTTCGTGTGAATGCCCGGCCAACTAGACTGCTAAGATCTTTAAAGTTGTAAATATTAGCTCAAAAACAAAAATATCAGGGGTGGCCGAACTTGCCCCGGTCTCCCGTATGTAGATTTTTTGTATCGTTGATGTATTCGCAATATAATTTTTGCATCATTGAGGCCATTTTCAAAGCGAAAGTAGATATTTGTTTTTGTTCGTGACGTATATGATAGGTCGGGTGGCGCAGTGGATAGCGCGCTCGTCTTCACCAAGATGGCCGGAGTCAATCCCGGTTACCTGCCCGACCATGCGGATTTTCTCCCGATACTCCGGCTTCCTCCCACATTAAGAATTAAATCCTCTGCGTGCTTCCGTCAGGTCACAAAAAGAATGATTGAAATAAGTTGGGGGAAAACTATTTTGTAATTGCTATAGAAAAAAGTGCATATTACATATTTGACGATAAGTCTATAAAAGTAAATGTATAGAGATGTTAGTTAAAAATATGAAATTAAAAAAAGAAAACATATACTTTGATGTAACTGAAATTGTCGTTATATCGATACAGGTACCTGTATATAGTCTGAATTCCTGTTCCATCCTGAAACACCGGATTGAATTTCAAGTTTTGTAACTGTCACTGAGGTTTGACAGGTAATGATGCCAAATAAAAATTAAACAGTTTCTG